TTACCGCTTTTTGAATTGTACCTCTGTTTTTTTGGGGGGGGAACCGTAGTGGTGGTCGAAGTAGATTATGTTGTGCGGGGTCGAGAACGCTCACTCCGCGCAAAGGGGATGATCGCACCACGTTGTGTGTAAATGGTCAAGCACCCTCGAGGCAGTTACACAGTGCTATATGATCGAACTGTCTCTGGAAGTGAAAGCACCAGAAATATAGGCTGTGTCGCAACGAAGTAAGCACAAGATGCCGAATATCCTTAGCAGGATGCAGCGCACCCTCCATGCGACTCGCCGAATACCTCACGGCGCTTCGCGCATGGTGATGTGAGAGCCTGGTCCGGTGAGAACCCGGCGTGTTCCGTCCCGGCTTTGTAGGGATGCGAGGTCAGTGGACTAACAACTACGGCACGCACGACTATGAGTACACCCCCCCCCCCCCCACTACCGTAGACGACACAAGATAACACACCCAGATAAGAAACCACACCCCCACAGAATACGAGCCCCCGGTGATAATTTTGGGCGTTTCTGACGAACCATCGATTTTTCACCTGGGCTACATTAGATAGCACACCCCTTTTAGGTTGCGCAGCATACATTCACGGGGGCCCTCCTTCTATCACCGGGGTGATACGGCATCTGCCCCGTGGGCATCGCACACACCACACATATCACCTGCGTGAGGGGAAAAACCCCGCATGTGGAGATCTCCAACAACATGAACGTGCAGGGAGAGCAGAACGCCGTCGCAAGTACCTCCGCTTCTTCCACAACTGCTTCGACCGCAGCAGTACAGCCGCCACAGATCACCTCGTTCTTTCAACGCGAGCACTCTACGCGCGCGGCTCCTGCTACAGCCCGTCCTCCTGCTGTTGCTGATCTAGCAACGGCAGCACCTGGCACAACAACAGGCGCCAACATGACAGCCAACGCATCGCCTCGCCAGCAGAAGCCACGCCCCTTCAAGTGTGCGGCAGAAGCGGTTCAACTCTACAAGCAGTGTTATCGCACCCCCTTTTTATTACCACCCTCCTTGTCAAACCCCCATACCCTGTGGGTGTTCGGATGTGCTATCACACCACCTCATTCATCACACCCGGAAACACACCCTGTGGGTGTTCGGACGTGCTGTCACACACCCTGGTTTGTCGCACCCCCTTAAGGGCACCTTCGAGCTGCACTTTATCACCCGGGCTACATAAGATGCCACACCCCCCACAGGATACCACACCTGGTGAAAATGTTTATAAAGCCCAAAATGTTATCACCGGGGTGTGTTATCTTGTGTCGTCTACGGTACGGTACTCGCATCTCCTCTTCGTGCGGGCTACATTCCCTGCGTGGCCAGCGCAACGACCACAACAGAAGCAGCAACCGACGACAGATAATGCATAAGCAAGCGCCCGGGGGGGCAAGGGAGTGCGTGCGACTCCTCTTCTTGCTAGAAAGGAAACCCACCTGGCATGTGCAAGCAGAGGCAGCGGAGGTTCGGGGAATACCAATGTAGTCTGGTCATCATGCACACCCAACAGTCGAAGTGTATAACAAACGGGCAGCCGAAAAGAGTTTTTTCCCTAGCAGCAAAAGTTCAACTCATAACTTGCCTAACCAATCGATGTCTAGGCTATAAAGAGCGACTACATAACACCATACCACCAATGGTAATTCTTAACCACGAGGGCGAGCGAAGGGGAAGCAGCATCAACAAGCACGTAGATTGGTGCGCTTTGCCCTCGGCTCATCCATGGGCTCCCCTCGTTTCCACCACATCCCTTGCTGCGTGTGGCAAGCGAGCCGAGAGCTCCTCCAGTCTATCGCACACGCCAGCCAACATTCCCTCTATCCGCGCCATCCTCTCGTTCATTCTTCGCTCCACTCCGACAATTGCCTCGAGCACGGCCGCTTCTGACCGGGGATGTCGGGAACTGTCTCCGCCACGCGAGCGAAGGCCGTTCGGCTCCGCTCCACAAGTGTCACCAACCAGAGGTGATCTGGCATCTGAAGGAACAACGGAAAGGTTTTCGCTGCTTCCGGCGGTGGTCTCCTTCTCATGCCCACACCCTGAAGTACCGCGAATGGCCTTGTCATTGCTGGATTTCGACGGAAACGCAGCGGCCGAACCCACCAGCGAGCCAAGATCTTCGCCATTGCCGGTGGTAGCGGGTGCAGCAGGAAGGGAAAATCGCAGCAGGGTGGTGCGGTATGACGATTCTTCTGGCCTGCCGCTGTTGCTCCCACGCCAGTGGGACTCTGCAGCGAACGATGATTCATTCATGTCCGGACGCGGGGTAGTAGCGCCGATCGTCGCATCAACGCTAGAGACAGCGCAGCCCGCCAGGACTAGAACCACCACCTCGTCGGCCATAACACCGTCCTCTGCTGTAGCGCCTTCTCCGGATGCGCTACTATTCACCCCCGGCGTCGCAGCGCTTTCGCCTCGGGCTTGCCTTTCCCTGCTTAACATAAGTCCCTTTGCTCTGTACCCCGTAGGGAGCCTCAAGGTGCACAACGGCACCGCCCGACGATGTCGGCGCTTGCGTCTTCGAGTCCCGCTCTCGCAACCCCCGCTGCCACCCGGCAAACAGCTTTCAGTTGCCGGAGAAGCAGGGTGCGACTCCAGGCGGTAGCAGGCGACCAGGTCGCACGCGTGGCTGCCAACTGCCACGATTCGTCCATCCTCGGAAGATGCGAGGAGGTCGGGAGACGCCAGCTCGGAGGGCAGAGAAGTCAGCGTTGCAACGCCGACGACGCCATCGCCTCCACCGCTCCTGCACGACACGCGAACGAGGCACGGCCTCCGACCGGGGGTAGAATCGGTCGTTCTCCCGGCGGCGGGGGAGTTGCGGCCGCTAGCGGTTCCCATTCTGCCTAGACGGTTACCAGAGTCGCGCAGAGAAATACTGCTCGAGCCGACGGCCGGAGAGCTCGCGGCATCCTCACCGCCGGGGAGAGACAGGCGGAACAGGGGGTGGGTCGAGGGCGTCGGCATGCCTGCTGCACCCCCGCCGTCCGCCCCATTGCCCAGCTTTCCGCGCAGGTCTACCACTTCAGGTGTCGTGGAACGTCGGTCTACCACTTCAGGTGTCGTGGAACGCCGGTCTACCACTGCAGGTATCGTGGAACGCAGAAGCGAAGATTCGGACGACGTTGGGCGCGATTCCCCGGCGGGCACCGATTCCTCCGCAGCCGTCGAGCTTCTTTCTTCCAAGGGTGCGACCGGCGAGCTGCCGACAGGCAGCGCTAGAGGAGACTCCGGAGAGCCCGAATCTCGACCCCGTCGCCGCGGGGAGTTGGGCAACAGAGTTCTCGACGTCGGGCGAAGGGATCCGGCAAGCCAATTCTCGCCCGGCAAGGAGTGTCGGAACCCGCCGCGGCGGGTGGCGGGTTTCTCGGCGGAAACGGTATCGATAGAGCTTGACGCAGCGCAAGCCTTGTTGCTGGAATCAACCACGGCGCAGAGGAGACCCTCCCCAACGTGAGTCGTCTGACCACCGCCGCCAGCAAAAAGAGGCTCGCCCGACAGGGTTGGGGCGGAAGCGGCGATCGCGGAGTCCAAGCCCAAGCCCCCACCCGTGGTGCCGAAGAAAGTAAGAGAACCTGCAGGGCACATCGCTCTCATGTCTCCAATGAGGAGCCGCGATGATGAGACCCCGGCGGCAGCCGCAGCCGGCGGCGGCGACAGAGGACCAACCGAAGAGTGCGTGCCGTCGCTGGCACGCTCCGGCCGGCTCTTCCTGGTTCCCGGTGGAGCACCGATTCGTGTCAAACCCGTGCCGTCGCCGCCACTCCTGGCACCACCGCCGCCATCTGCCAACGGTGATGGCGAAGAACGGGTGCTGCCTGGCGAAGACCCCGGGGAAGAAAACACGCCGCCGCCCATAGCGGCCTCGACGCACAGGATGGTGCGGAAGTCGCGCGAGGCGCCGCCCGAGCAACCGGTCAGTCCTGTCTCGCCCTCGGCAACTAGCCCCCCTTCGCGCGCGACAGTCGCTGACGGTAGCGCGCCTCCTCCTCCTCCTCCTCCTCCTGCTTCGTTGTCGTTGACCACGGCGGCGGCTGCGGAACCGGGACTCGCCCAACCACTTCTCGGCTTCGCTGGTTGCAGACCCGGCGCATCATCGACCGTCTCGGATTCGACACCGCCACGTGCCTGCCCCGCCGTCGATATCGGCCTTCTGCTTCCTCCTTCCGAGGGGTCGCTGTAGACACGAATCTCGCCACCGCTACTCAGAGCCAGGCGCCGTCCGCACCCGCTCCACGCACCACAGGTCCGTTTCCGTACTACTGGGGCGGGGAGCACCACCCGGCTCCCCCTTGGTCTGAAGGCGTGAGAAAAAAGGGCGAAAGGTTGCACTGATTTAGGGGTGTACTTGCTGATGACAAATATTTCTTTTTTTCGTGTGCGTTCGGCATGAAAGCGAAACTAAACATCCCACGATCGATCGCCGATATCACGGATGTACACCGTTACAGATTCGTGTTCTATTGGCTGTGTGTTGCACTGAACGTTCGGGTATTGACTGCGTATTCCACGCTATCAACGGTTCAGGCCTGGAGGGCGATGTGTACAGCTGCTGCCGTGGACCTACTGCTGTAGCGGGTTGAGTAAAAAGCTCAAGCTACAACAAGTAATGTGCCATGATTTCAGTCGCTCGTTAAGATTCACGGCCCTACGCGTAAAGCGTATCATTTCGAGATAGCATTTACGCCACAATTCAAGATATCATCACGCCACACTTAAAAGCAGCCCACTGCTTCACAGAATTCCACATTCTACCCCACAGCACTGCACGACCTTACCTTGCCCCTTTCGGCGGGCACTACCGGTCCAACTCACCCCAATACCGCCACCCCCACATCGTACCACGCCGCTAGTGGTATCGTTGCATCTGTCGTGCTGCCGCCGGCCCACGGCCGGAAGGACAGGCACCGGACGTTCCCGATGGGGGGAGGGGGGGGCTTTCCTCCGTTTTCGTTGCAAGCCTTTGCGAGGCTTCCTCCATCACCATCCAAGAGCCGATCGCAAGGGGATGTTTCGTTAATGGCGCTTGTCTCGTTGCTCCCCTGGTCGTCGGAGCGTTCCCAGTCCGTCCGCACTTGGACGGTCGTGTATCGATAGCCATCCTCGCTTCTCGTGCCTTCTTTTGCTGCGCTCGCAGCTCCCGCGCCGCGAGAAACTTCCCACAAGCCAACCTCGGACCCGCACGCCACCGCGATATGGCAAACCTTATCCCCGCCTCGATCACAACGAGCACCATCGCTACCAGCGTCACCACTCGTGGAAGCAGCAACAGAATGATTGCATCGGGACCACGACAGCCCTCGCGCCAGTCCCTCGTCGGGCGCCGCCGACCTTTTCCCGCTATCACCGGGGGCCATGTTGGCCAGCCTTGCTTTGAGGTCGATGACGGCGACGACACGGCCAGGGGCACCGCCCAGTAACCCACGTTGGCCGCTCCTTGACGGAAAAGCTAGTAGCCGCACGCTAGAGCCGTCCAGATGAGCGAGGAGGCCCAAGCCAGGGCAGACGGCTGCGCGTCGTTGGTACGTGAACGACAAGCGCGTTTCGGGGAAGAGGTTAGCGGCGAGCGATGGGAGGCACGAGCGAATTCTACCATTTCCAGGAATGAAACAAATCCCACGTAAATGAATCCTGTACGCGAAAAAACGGCCTTCTGTACAAGCTTCGTTTCCTATCACGGCGGGCATGCGCTGGACGTGTCGTGTCAGGCACGCCTCGGGTGGAACCCACGCTGTGCAGCAGCTTCAGGCCAACACGGACACCAAGGAACTGAAACAGGTGATATTTGCGACCCAAAAGTGGAGGAGGCCCGGGGGCTCGGATGCACGATAGAGAATCAAATGCTCGCATGGCGATAGCTTGTAAAGGACGGTGGTACACCAGCTGAAGTCGGGTTCTCAGCATCATGATCACCTTGAGGAATGACGCAACCCTCGTCGTGTGCAGTCGCCATTTTCTAAGTCGAACGGTATCTGGACTACAGAAATTTTGTTGTACGGTTTGGAGCAGCGTGGTACTGTACAACTCCAACTGCACTGCCGCGCAAGTTGTAGGCGTGTGGAGTGCCATGCCCATACGGACAGTGTCTTTCGTCCGAAGAACCTGCAGCTGGCGGCAGAGCCCAACCAAACGGTTAACCGAGCCGCAGGTAGAAACATGTTCCCTGCTGTGAGCTGCACGTTGTCGCTCGGCGCTGGGCGTCATCGATTCGCAGTTGCAAATCTACAGCAGTTTCAACGTTGGGCAAGGCGCCCTCACGAGGTCCTGACAGAATCGCAAACGTATATATGGAGGCTTGTGACTTAGACTACTGCTACATGGAGATCTACATATTGTACCAGGCACCACATCCTTCGGGTGCGCACCGTCTTTGAGGTAGTTGACGCCAAATCGCCGTAAGCGGGCCGCCTGGAGAAGCGGCAGTTCTTGTACAGGAGCATGTTCCACCCCTGGCCACAAAGATGGCCCCATGGTACAGCTCTCCTGTGTCCTGCGTTCCTGGTTCGTGGACGTGGTGCTGGGTGCGATCGTGCGATCCTGGCGGGAACACTGTAGGGGGCATCGCAAAGTGCGCATTCCGTAGACTATGCATACGTCGGTGTTCCACTCGGTTTCCGAGGCATGTGTCGGTCGGGGTCATGCGTCATGAAACGCACGCGGTGTCGGCATCGGAGGGGGGAGCAAACGCCCCGTATTTGTCAACTTCTGCAGCGAGCAGTGGGCACCTTTTCCGCCAATATTAGCACCGCAGCATCTGATCTGTAGTGTGAGCAGCCCCGCTCTCATGTCTAACCGAAGCATTTACACACGCGCACCTAGTCGTGAAGAATGCTCCCGTCCTTTTGAACCCGACGATGTCTAACGCAACAACAGCAGGATAGCAGCACCCTTCAGCAACAACACACAGGATAAGCAGCATTGCTGCAGCTACAGCAGCAGTAGTCTACAGCAGCAGTAGGTCTACAGCGCAGTAGTTATCCACGACACAAGACGGCTGAGCATTTAGTCTACCGTTTATGTTTTTTTTTCCAAGTCACTAAATATCAAAGCTGTGGCTTGCGAGATTCGTTGCGGATGACGCCAACCAAGCTTCTCGTTGCGATGTCAACTCTGATTACTTGTTACAGTGGATGTTTACGTGATTCACCCACGACGCTGAAATTGAGCCGCCCCCTCCGGCGCATCGTCCAGCAACAAAATATTCATATATGCAAATACCTTGAAGCCTTCACAAACTACAGCAGTAGATCCTGCACTTGATCCCCCGAGATATCCGTCGATCAGCATCGGGCGGGGTGTGCCTCAAACACATATCGCCACTCGAAGAAATGCCAACTTGAAGCCGGATGCGGGATCATAACAGAAGTCCACCACACCACCCACAGTTTTGGACATTCAAGGCGCGCGTCGTTCTTCGCGGCGTTTTAACTCGCAATACTACGCGCACTGCCGTACGTACAAGTGCAACGAAATAGTCCCGCACATCCCCTCAGCCGCCGAACGTACCTTAGACTATCGACGGGAGGCCACCACCTTCCCCCCCAAAAAACCTCAACATCTTCGAGCTTTTTCGAAACAGAGAGATGCATCCTCGCGATCGTCATCTTCTTCACAATCGTGGATGTGTGAAAATAGTCCGTAGACACCTTATTCTCAACGGTGGGAAAAAAAGACGCGATAAGATCAACCCAGGGCTTGCGTGACGCGCCGCTGCCGCAGCTCCTGCCCGGAAGAGCCTCGAACGCCAGTCGCAAAAGCAGTAGCGCTACGGCTCTCCGCCCGATCACTGCCCCTGCTGACTCGGCCTCTTCTCGCCGGGCGTAGATCGTGCCGCGTTGACGTCGACCATCGCCTGAGCGCCATGCTGGCGTACAAGACGACCAGCCCGATCACGACAACCACGATCAGAAAAACTTTTGGCTTTCCCGTCCCAACGCCGTCGACACCCCCGCGGGGGAGGGGGTGCCCGCGGTTCGCGGGCCCCCCGTCGACGGGAGGAGCGAGGGGACGGTGGTGGTCGTCGCACGCGAGGTGGTCGCAGAACTGGAGAGGCGACGGGAGGGCGAAACGCGAGGGTATCTGTCGGCTGTGCGTTGGTTAAAGGAAATCCTGCTAGTCAAAATGGGGAACGAAAACAAAGTGCCTGGCGAAACGCCGCCGTCTACACGCTCGAGCACATCCTGAATGCCCAGGGTGTTCCGGGCAGAAGCCGCCGAAATTCATTTGATTGGTTCTGCTGTTTGGTGCTGGTTGTCACAAAGAGAATAGGCCTCTCACTCATGGGAGTCTTGTCAGATCCGTCTATATAGAAGCGCTAACGAAACATGGCATCAACTTCAGAAGAAACATGCTTCTGGGAAAGAGAAACTCGCCGTTGTGCAATACAAACGTATCTAATCTGAGCTCCCATCTAGCCCAAGACCCGATCTCGAGACCCCAGCTCGACAGACAAAGACACAGAGGAAGACCAAGGATCCTGTGAGTTGTCAGCGTTGGAGAACAAAGAGAAGGTTACGAGGCGAATCGCCAGAGGATTCAGAACTGTTATGACAGAAAAGCGAGATAAGAAACAACACGACAAGAACAAGCACAGCGTCTCCGGCTTTTTTATCGTACTGCTCGCATGCTCTTCCTCACCTGTCGCACAAAATAATCGCCGGTGCTTCCGAAACCCCCGGTTTCTCGTCCAGGTCCCGCATCAACAATGCCTCCGTCAGAACCGGCGCTGCCAGTTGAGTCGTCGAAGCAACTGCATCGTCCAGCAAAACCAACAAAAAAGTGGCGTGGCGGCGGGGGGTAGCGGAACCAACGGCGGCAACAGGCAACTGTAGCCAAAAGCAGGAAAACAGAAGGAGGAACCAAAGCAAAAATTGGAAGCACGTCGAAACACACAGTTCGGCAGACACCACAAACCGGAATACCCGGTCGCTAGACCAATCAATGTGGAGACGTCGAGGGCAGACAGCCACGCGGCGAAAGAGCACACTTTGGGGCGCCGTGTGCTACAATAACAGAGAACACAGACAGACAGACAGACAGACAGACAGACAGACAGACAGACAGACAGACAGATAGACAGACAGACAGACAGAGGCGGGAAGAGAAGCGGAGCGGCAAAGAGGCAGAGAGACGAGCCACAAACAGAACGAACAAGCATACATGTCCACGCCACTGCGTACCCGTGGAACAGCGCCCTGCACCGGCGTCTCCTCCGCTCCATGTCCGCGGGGTCACAGGCCCCGCACCCCCTCCTGATCGTCCCCGCGCCCGTGCCCAACGACGATCCGCCACCGGCGTGGATCTCCACGCTACAGGAGTCCGCGGCATAGTCACCGCACCCCAGCTCCGGGCACAGGTCGCCGAGGCAGCGCCCGGGTGCCGGTTCAATGCCGTGGCCGATAGCGTCGCTTCCGGCGAGGTTCAGCCGGTCCGCGTGTTTGTTGTCCATGTGCCTGTCCATGTAGAACTCCGTCTTGAATTGCTGCCAGGGCCCGTCGAGGGAGGAGGGTAAGCACATTAGCCAGGAGCGGTACGGGTGAGCGCGGGTGCCCTTGCAAGGGAGAACGGTTGCGATCTACTACTCTCGAGTCTGGGGATATCTTTTGCGGCTCGGAGGTTGAGCAAGAACGAAATACACATGCATACCGACAAAGAGAAATGCTTCCAGATGCTCCATCCGCCTTGCAATCCGACAGAAACAATTAAAAATGCTTCTTTGCGCGTGGTGTACTAGAAGCGTGATTCTTAGTGCCAACGCAGGTCAGCCTGAAAGAACAGACGAGCCCATACCCCAGAGGCCGAGCCCCCCCCCCTATGCAACGGTGGGCCACAGCAGCCACGAACGTGCTGTCATAACCGCGCCGCCAACTTCTCCAGTGAGACCACAACGTGGTACATTTCTGTTGCGGTGTTGCCCGGGTGTGCTGCACTACTCAGCTCTAGCCAGCAGCTGCAAACGGGCCCCAGAGCATCCGTGCCCAGCCGAACTCCCGATTCTTCTCCGTCCTCTCCCGTATCTTATCTCCCTGTGTCTCTCTCACGCTCTATCGTTCTTCACGATCTCACTATGAACAAAAAACACCGCTTGACACACAAACCTACACAAAGCACTATCCCCCCAGACAAGCAGCTTGGAAAGCATTGCAGAGGCTGCAGTAGCGAACATGGCTGGTGCTCCCTGTTCAACAGGAGGAGCATGGTAGTCTCTTTATCCCAGTGGCTAGGAGGAGTCAACAAACTACTGCGGCCCCTTCTGCGGTGCCCCCATACGTTTGCGTACCTTCTGGCAGTAGCCACACTGAAAAGTATCCAATTTTCCTGGCACCAATCTCTTGTGCAACTCCTGCACGAGGCATCCAGTGGTCGAGCAAAGGCAAGGACGACGACGTTTACTTTGACAGTTGGACTGGGTAGTCGCTGTGCAGTCGGCGCCACTGAGGGTGCTCTGCAGGCGTCGTGATGTGCTGAGGTCAACGCCAGCTCCCGACGTTTGTCCACGCCTTTCTCCTCCAACGTACAGAGCCGCTAAGCGAGTAATCGTGAAGCCGCTCATGGCAGCACGAGGTACGCCTGATGATGGCAAATGGCGCTTGTACAAGTAGCAGGCGACACCTGTTGTAGCGACATGCTCTAAAATCAAAAACTGATCCAAGGATACACGTTGAAATCAAAAACACTTTCCTTTTTCGCGCCCCTTCGCCATTGGATTTTTTGGGCGACATACTGGTATGTTTGATCACCATGGTGTTCAACAAAATTATTCATGCGTTGTCCTGGCCTTGAAGAGTACGGAAGAGGAGGTGCACAGACAGAGGCAGAACGTTTTCGATGTAGCGACGATGACAACGACAACAACATGTGGCGGGAACACTGAAATCATGAGTGCCAGTGGGAAATACTCTGATCAGGAAAAAAAGTCCAGCGTTCGGCGAACCATGCGACTATTCGCACCCCATGCTCACTTAAATCCTGTCAGCCGCTGGAAGGCTACGCCCCGCCCAAAAAAGAACAACATGCGACGAGTTCTCGCAAAGGTACCCGATGTACTTCCTTTGTCAATATCTAGGCTAGGCTTTAGCGGCCCATATTCAAACTGGCCACTGCTGTTTATCTGAGTTTAAACTTTAAACTCAAAGACAACTGTGCAAATCGCCATACCTGGTCCTTGAATACGTCGAGCTCTGGGTGGAGCGGGCATGCTAGAGGGATAGCCAGCGCCGGGTCTTTATCCAGGAACGGGTAGACGCTCTTGTCCGCGAGATGGACAAAACAAGATGGGGACGCAAGAAAATGTGAAGGGGTGCGAGCACCGTCAGTGAAGGCACTCCAAATTTAACATATTCTGCTTCAGAGACAAGGACGGAGGCCAATGTGACTCAACCTGTAGTCAATAGGCTCGCTTGGATTCTTGTTTGCCAAAGAGAAAAGGCCTCCTGTCCTGTCACATACGGCTACGTTTCGCTTGGTATTGGCCTTCCTGCGTTTCTTTTGTACAAGTTCGGAAAGCATGCGATGTTCTGTGCATCGGTATTGTCAACACTGCTACTTGCACGGACAATACTGCTGCACTGGGTGTCCCGCTGTAATTACCTACAGCAGTCACGGCGGTACAAGCTCGTGTTGCCCCTCACAGCAGTCAACAAAAACAGAGTAACATGTTTAGAATAACGTTTACATCTTATGAGACCAACCCTTGCCACACAGATGTTGTGTATTTCAATTAAGGTCACTGATGTGGCTCCCGGCCAACCTTACTGACATGAAAAGATGGAGTGTGTAACATGCTGGGAGCGGAGACCTGCTGGGCATCATCAACCCAGGTGCGGCGTGACTCAATTTTCAAGATCTTCAGTAGTTGTGCCGCACAAAGGTGCAGTGACCTGCCGGCCAATTGCCTACGGCAGTGCTGCGGCTTTTTCTCTGTCTTTCTCGACAACATGCAGCGGCTTGCTGTAGACGCGCGCTGAAGTTCATCACACATCAGGTGTCTGCGAGTGGGATACAAGCGGCGTGTTGCGGCACTAATATAGCAAGTGACGCGGCGGATTGTTCTCGTCGTGAAAGTAGCTTTCGTTGCTGACCTTAGCAATGATCTTCCGTGCCTGGCGCGAATGCTCCCTAGAGCAACTGCTTTCATTGGCCGACATTGCGCCCCGATGTCGTCGTAAGTGTGCACCACGCCGTGTGTCCTGGCCACCGCTACTGCGGCGGTGGTGTGCGTCTGTGGCCCGCGTCTGTGGCCCGCGTCTGTGGGTCGGGTCGGGGTGGCAGGCGGGGAACCCCCTCTCCGTGTTTCTCGTCCTCGTGCCCCCCTCTCACACGCCGCAACCCCACACACCCAAAGCGTCAAGAACCACAGTGACACACACGCTGACGACAAGGTGAGGGCGTGGTGACCAAACCTTTCTCTCATTGTGTGCAATACCTCAGGGTCTAGTCCTCCCGTCTGTCTGTTCTTGCAAGGTGGCCACAATTAGAGGTTGGTCTCAAAGGTCTCAAAAGCACCACAGCCGCAAACGTTGTTCAAGTGTACCTCGAGGTACAGGTGTAAGTCGAACACCTAGCATCTAGGCGTGGGGCATGCAAAGCTCTCATGCATAGGGTGGATGTCTACTACTACCCGTTTTCATGTTGCGGCCGCTTGGATGGTGGTGAACCTGCACTCGATGCTTAGAACTCAGAACTGGGCGTGCGGTAGCCAGAGCCAGATCACGATGCATGCGAGCTTGCCGAGGCATGCCGAACGAACCAATCAGCAGCTCAGCAACGCTGAGAGCCGGTGCTTGCCGGGAACACCGTCTACCTGCTGTTTGTAGAGCGCATCACCTCTGTTCCCTAGCACACACCTGCTGCATGCAATCAAACACAGACCCGATTCGCAGTGACACCTCCTGCACGGCGTTCCGCCATCCACAGATCCACAAGCCAACCAAAGTGGGGCGAAAAGCGCAACCAGCAGTATCGGCTTGTCACCGGGCAAAGAGAGACGGCACTATTATAGCAGTGGTACAATATTGTCTAGAGGATGGGCGAGGTTCTTGGTCTGGTACGCACGCACCCCACGCCCCACGCACCCCCCCCACCTGTCCTGCTTGTGCAGAAACAAGCAAGGATGGCGAAGGGACGAAAACGACCGGCTTCGGCGATCGAAGAGGACGGCAGCGGCTCGGTTCCTCTGGCCGATGGCATGGCTTCCACCACAACTGCTGCCGGTGGTGAGTTGGTCAAACCCTGCTGTGTAGCGTGAGTAGCTCTTACCCCTCGATGCAGAACCGTGTGCGGAGTGGTACGTACCCGATCAGTTATTGTCGAACTGCGAGCACGCAGGTACTGCTGTAGGTAGTACGCCAGGCGCGCTCAACCGAAACCTCTCCCCTTTTCCCGCGTGCAAGTTGGGTGCCGAGTTACCCGCGAGGGTGTGACAAGCGGCGACAGTCCGATCAATACTGTTTGCGTCGAGGATTACGGCGGCCGACATGCGTCTCGTTTTAGGATCTGGCGGAGATTTTTTCTTGTCTCAAAAAACATTCACCTTGTAGACTAATTCCTTGGCTTGATTTTTGAATCCGAAGGAAGATCGATTGGGTGCATCGCAGGCCGAAATTCAGCTCTTCCAAGAGACGGCCGCACGGCAGTGAGACACGAGAGAAGAGCTGAGCCTGTAAAACGCCAGAATCTTGCTAAATAGACTTTTTTTGACGGCCGTGGTGTTGGTGCGTCTCTCCCACACGTACGCTGAGTCCCGCACTGCCTGTCTTCGTTGCGGTGTTGGCAGCAGGCAGTGACGGTGGTGGTGATGGTGGTGGTGGTGGTCCGAAGGCCCTCGAACCCGGCGCCAAGAACAACGAGGTCAAGTTCGGGAAGCACCTGGCCTCGAGCGACAAGCGAGTGCGCGACCGCACGGTGGGCGCGCTGCGGGAGTGGCTCCGCCAGCGAAGCAGGGGGGGGAGCCTGACCGACTTGGACTTGCTCAAGGTGACATGTGCATGCATGCGTGCGTCGTACGTACGTACGTACGTACGAACGTGGTGACCCGCCTGTCCTCTGTCGTCCTTCTTTCGTTTGTAGGAAAGATGCATACAACTACAGAAAGACTATCCGTTCGAGACATGACCACAGTCGAAGGGGATGGGTTCAACAATTTTCAGCGAGTGCGGGAAATATCCGCTGGGTACTTTTATCCTTAGCCTGGATACTGAGCTTGTTTTTGAGTCAATTTTTTAGCTTTTGTAGAGAATACTCCACGTACCAACACGGAGAGACTATTCGTTCGAGACATCACCGCAGTCGCAGGGGATATATTGAAGTATTTTGTTGAACCCCCACCGACGATGATGACGAAAAGACACGTCGCCGGGGGCGGACTGGACACACCGGGTTTGATTCTACAGTTGTACGTGGCCACTTGGGTCCATCAACCTGAATCCCTTGTCGGGGTCAGGCGCTTCGCGGGGTGGCGAAGGACGCCACACTGCAGGCGGGGGGGGGGATCGTGATAGTGGCCTGTCTGGTCGTCGCAAGGTGGAAGTCATTTTTCCTTGGTGTATACAAGAGTTTCGTTGCCCGCAGTATGCAAACGGAAACGCCCTCGCACATTGCGACGACGGAGCACCTGACTTTTGTTTCTTGCTTAGTCCTGGAGTGGGACGGGCTTGGTGATGTGAAGAGACCAGTGCCGCTTCGCCGCGGTGCAGCAAACCACAAGTATTATTTATCACGCGCGCTTTTTCTCTCCCGCCATCTTCTTCTTATCGTCTTTCCTTTTTCCCCGAACTGAACGAACGAACGAAATTTGTCAAGATCTGGCGCGGGCTATGGTACTGCATGTTCATGTGCGACAAGGCTCCCGTCCAGCGAGAGCTCGCCGAGAACCTGGCCGGCCTGCTTCGCCTCTTCAAGGACGACCGGGCTGAGGGTGTGCGCTTCTTCAAGTCCTTCTGTGTCACTATGCAGCGGTGAGTTGGCCTTTTTTTTTTTTTGGAACGTAAGAGGCGGAGAGATGGCACCTCCCGTAGACCCACTTTCGAATATCGATTGCTCCACAACCAAGATTGTCTGTACCGTACCGTATACCGTACCGTGGTATTCCGTACGGGGCGGAGAGATGGCACCCCTTCTAGACCGACTTTCAAAGCTCGATTGCTCCACAACCAAGTGGTGCAGGAAGAGCCCGATGCGTCTACGCCATGTCTTCGACGAGACATTTCCAAAACCACCATTTTTGGTATTGGCACAATCGTGGTCGTGGAGCAATCGAGCTTTGAAGGTCGGTCTAGGGGGGTGCCATCTCTCCGCCTCTTACGGAATACCACGGTACGGTATACAGTACGGTACAGACAATCGTGGTTGTGGAGCAATCGAGGTTTGAAAATCGGTCTAGGGGGGTGCCATCTCTCCGCCTCTTGCACTATTCCAGCAGAAAGGTATACATACACCGAGCTTTGCTTGTGCACAATATTCCTCGCGCAGATAGCGGGCTCTGGCTAGATTTATGGAGGCATTATGTGTGGAGGTGGCATCCTCGCCGTGGAAGACAATATTTACATGTCCACACGGTACAAATGACTCGGATTTACTCATGTCTGGGCCCTTTGTTTTTCCTCTCGTTGCTCAAAGAGCGAGTTTTGTAGAGCCTCGTCGCCCTCAGTGTTGATTGTTGTTCTGATGTGATGAGCTTCACGCTGTGGACGCCGCCCCAGTCATATGCCTCCTCCTCCAAACGGAGGGGCCGTGGTGAAAAACACACGCTAATTCGTATCTGATCAGAATTTTTTGCTTTGCACGAGGGTTCCATCCGATGACGCGGTGCCTGCACCACCGAACCGGTAGGCGTTAGTGACGGTCGGCAATGGTGCACAACACACCTCGATTCAACGGTCACATTTTCTCAACGGATAGTAACAGTGGCGGGAGAGGAAGAAAAGAACGTGGAGAATTGGCTCCGCAATCAAATTCGTTGTTGCCGACCCCCTCGGGAAAGTTCCTGCCAGCGTACCAGCTTTGCGCAGCTCTGCAGTTGGGCAAGTCCACAAAGTGTTCCCATACTTGGTGGTGCGTAAAAAGTGTTCTCTGTGCCCGGTTGCTGTCTAGATTACCCTTCTGTTGCGATTTTTTTTGCAGGCAACTGCGGGGATTTTCTGTCATCACTGTGCTTGACTAACCTTGTCCCACCAGCCCCGCTGTTGCTGTTGTGCTCACATTAAAAACCAACCCGGTCTCTGCTCAGTCCCATCCTAGCATTCGTGCCGATTCTGGTGCCGTTGTTGGCACTAACATGCAGCACCTTCCCTGCCGCCATCCCTCCCGTGCGTTTACTTTGCTCTCCGCACACCCGAAAAGCGACTGGGAGCGTATCGACAACCTCCGGATCGACAAGTACTACACCCTGGTGCGGGTGTTCGTCCGAGAGGCGCTGGCCTTCTGTTGCCTCCCCCCCCCGGCCGTGGAAGGCCAGCCCAAGCAAAAGAAAAAGAAGAAGGGCAAGAAGAACTCTCCAGCGGAAGAGGCAGAGACGTCCGCTAAGGCCGGCGGCGTGTGGGACCTAGGCCTCCTCGGCGCAATGTCGGACGTAATGGAGGTCGAAGTCCTTACGCTGCGCCCGGCCCCGATCGGCCTGAGGCTCCACCTCGCGGACGTCTGGGCGGAGGAGGCGTGCAACGCGGGGGGCGCGGACATGCCCACAGAGGCGTTTCTGGTGGCGCTGGCGCCGTGGCTGAGGGTGGCCGCGGAACCAGAGACGAATCCGGTGGTGTTCCGGAGAACCTTTGAAGGGGTGTTCGAGGGACTCCTGGGGTTGTTCCCGGAAGATAAGGATGGGATGGAAGAGGAGGAGGAGGAGAAGAAGGTGTTTGCGGCGGTGGAGTTGGACCGGGTGCAGGCGTGCTTGTTCGAGGTGGCCGCAGCCCCGCAGGTGACCAAAAGAATGAGAGACCATCTTCTATTTCAAACAACACTGCCTTGGTCGAGCTAGTCCCCGACCTGCAGCTTAAGCTTTCCCATGCGGGATGAATGTTGTATACATGTTTTTCGCCTGTTTTCTGAGCCCGGTGCGCCGCATGCAAGCGCCGCCGTCCGCCGTCCGCCTCCGGACTCTCCGAGGGAAACCCGTTTGAGACTACAGCCTACAGCCAATGCCCACTTGGCCGAGGGTACGATATGTTTTACACCGTAGTTCCATTTTGTGCGTACTTATGCCCGTCTTCGTCATCGTTTCACGTACAAGTATCGCTGCTGATCCGCCGCCTGCCTGCATCACCACAAACTCTGTCTCGACGCTCTCGGCCGTATTCCATCAATGCTCCCTCTTATTGCCGACCCAACCCCCCCCCTCCCCCCCTACCCATCAGACCCGGGATAAACGCCGCGTGAAGCTGTACGAACTCCACCGCCGCTATCAGAAGCGTACGGGGGTGACGCCCGACGCTACCGCGCCTCCCAGCGGCATTCTTCCCCTCCCTGAGGAGTCTGACGATGATGAGGAGGAGGAGGGAGGGGGCGACGGGGAATACGACGGCGAGTACGTCGAGGCCGGCGCGAGGCTGCGCGCGGCGAGGGGACCAGAGCCGGCGGTGGCGGGTTGGGTGGCTGCCGGAATCGCCTCCGGCGCCATCAGCTCGGAGGAGGGTGGAGAAGAGGGGGGTGGTAAGAAGGCCAAGAAGAGGAGGAAGAGGAGCGGCAGCGAGGACGATGAGGCGGAGGTAGACGGCGGTGGCGAGAAGAAGAAGAGGAGGAGCGGGGAGGAGGAAGAGGAGGAGGCTAGCGCCAAGAAAAGGCAGAAACAATCGAGAGGTTCGGTCGAGAAGGACAGCGGGGAGGTCGCTGACGCTGAGGCGCCGGCGGCTACCCGTGCGGGAGTCGAAGCCGGGGCAGATGCTGAAGCGGGGGCCGTAACCCCTGGCAAGAAGAGCGCCAAGAAGCGCAAGAAGGTAGAGGCCTCTCCGCCGGGGGGTGCCTCCAACGGCGCCGTGACGGGGGAGGGGACGGTGGTGGCGGCGGCGGCCAACGGCGACGGCGTGTCGTCTCCCCCTTCGAGCAGCAAGCGCAAGAAGAAGAAGAAGCGCAGGGGCTCGGCCGATGGTGTGGCGACGGTTGCCGATGACGATGCGGCCGCCGCCGCTTTGTCAACGGTAACAGCAGCAACTCCGGAAGCGGAGGCAGCAGCTGCCAACGGCGACGGCGTATCGTCTCCCCCTTCGAGCGGCAAGCGAAAAAAGAAAAACAAGGGTAGGGTCTCGGCCGATGGTGTAGCGGCGGATGCTGGTGACGATGCGGCCGCCGCTGTGTCAACGGCAACAGCAGCAGCTCCGGAAGCGGAGTCAGCAGCCCCGGCCGACGTAGTAGCGGAGAGTCCTTCCTCGAGCAAGAAGAAGAAGAAGGGCAAGGAGGAGGAAAAGGTGGCGACGCCTGATGCGGGAGAGTCGGAGACCACCCCCGAGGTGCTAGAGTATCCCGCCTGTTTTGTTTTCGTTGCCGCCGCCGATCGACAAATTTGAAAGCTCGTCTTGGCGGTCACCTTGCCGGCATGGGGCAATGGAGCCCCCCCCGGTTCGTCTCTTCGCGGTTAACCGTTTCCGTCAACCCCAGTTTGCTTACACGAATGCATTTGGAAGCGTGGCCGATAGGCATTGCTGCTCGATGTCGTTGGTTCTCGGCTTTCGACAGGAAGTTTTCAACTGTATTTTCATTCATTGTATAGTAGGTCACTGAATCAAGTCTGCCTTCTACACGGACCGAATAGGGATGGATGTGGGCTCTTGGTTCAAGCCCTGGCCGATGTGTACGCCTGACCGGTCGCTCGTTCCAACTTGTGCTGATGAGAACGAGAGAACCAACGGGTTACGGTTGGGCGAGATAGAGCCGTTTCAAGTGTAGGCCTTGTTGGATAACTTGACATTCTCATTGTTCCCGCGACGACGAAGAGCCGTTTCAAATCAAGGTCTTCTAGAATGACATTCTCAATGTCCCCGTGCCCTCCTTGTTTTTGGGAACCCCATCTAGGATGATGCAACAACCACCCCAGACTCGTCGTCAGAGAAGAAGAAGAAAAAGAAAAAGAAGAAGCGGCCTTCCCTCGAAGCGGTAGCGTCGCCGACACCCCTCCCCGGAAACACCGCCTCCGAAGAGGTTTCGGCGCCGTCCTCGGGTTCGTTCCAAACCCCGCCGAAGAATGCCGGGGGCGGCGGCGGCGGCTCCTCTAGCAAGAAGAAGAAGAAGAAGAAGAGCCCGGCAGCCGGCGAGAGCGCGAGGAAGACCGTAACTTTCGGGGCCAACATGGCGAAGGGTGAGCAGGTGATGGTGTCGCGAAAGTTCAATATCTTGGAACGCAAGATATAGAAGTCGGGGTATCTGTCTTGGGCAATAATTTCGAGCGTTTCGTCCGCGAACAAAATTATCTGCTGTAGGACGGGTTCGTTCTGTTTCCCTTCGTTGCTGTCGAGCGCTGCGATTTTGAGCATTTCTAAGGTTGAAAGTCAGCACCGTTCGTAGGGCACCCACCCAACTCTGAGATGATGAGCTTCACGCTGTGGATGCCGCCCCAGTCATACGCTTCTTCCTCCAAACGGAGGGGCCATGGTGACAAACACACGCTAATTCGTATCTGATCAGAACTGCTGTTGCGAGTGTGAGTGAGCACATGTTGCGTGGCGCTTGCTCATACGTACTTCCGCCGAGGCATAGGTAGTTGTAAAAAAACAATAATAAACATACCCCAGTTTGACACATTTCCTCGTCGGGATGGTTGCGACCGGCATGATTGGCTTCCATTGAACCGGCATCACGTCGTTATGATCCTGTGTTTCTAGTTTCTACAAGCCTCGTGTAGAGTGCGCCGGGGCCTTGTCTCGATTGGGACTGGGCACTCTGGTGCCTTTTTGTTGGATATTTTCTCATGTTTTTGTTGCAAATGCTGATGCTGGGTACTTCTGCCGTGCGTCCGAAATATTTGCTGATGGCGAGAAATTCTGGATGATCTTCACAGCTTAACGCTGCGCACAAAAGCCTCAGCCCATCGTGCTTCTCCAAACGAAGGATTCCCTGTTGACAGCCACCCTTTACTTCGTCGCTCGAAGGACAAGGCTCTTGTTCCAATCGCATCGACTTTGTTTGTCTTTGTTTCTTTTTCTCGTAACGGTAGAGTCCACGTTACGAACTTTGCGGATGACGAGAAATTCTGAGATGATGAGCTTCACGCTGTGGATGCCGCCCCAGTCATATGCCTCCTCCAAATGGAGGGGCCGTGGTGACAAACACACGCTAATTCGTAGCTGATCAGAACACATCGATTGTGCATTTTTTCCATCTCTTTGTTATGATTTAATGCCATCAGTATCCCTGCGCGACAGGGAGTACTGAACAGTAGCAAGCAACACGATTTCTACGTCTCGCTGATGTTAGCGAAGTTTTCTGAAATGATGAGCTTCACGCTGTGGATGCCGCCCCAGTCATATGCCTCCTCCAAATGGAGGGGCCGTGGTGACAAACACACGCTAATTCGTAGCTGATCAGAACACATCGATTGTGCATTTTTTCCATCTCTTTGTTATGATTTAATGCAACAGTATCCCTGCGCGACAGGGAGTACTGAACAGTAGCAGGCAACACGATTTCTACGTCTCGCTGATGTTAGCCGAAGTTTTCTGAAATGATGAGCTTCACGCTGTGGATGCCGCCCCAGTCATATGCCTCTTCCAAATGGAGGGGCCGTGGTGACAAACACACGCTAATTCGTAGCTGATCAGAACACATCGATTGTGCATTTTTTCCATCTCTTTGTTCTGATTTGATGCCATCAGTATCCCTGCGCGACAGGGAGTACTGAACAGTAGCAGGCAACACGATTTCTACGTCTCGCTGATGTTAGCGAAGTTTTCTGAAATGATGAGCTTCACGCTGTGGATGCCACCCCAGTCATAGGCCTCTTCCAAATGGAGGGGCCGTGGTGACAAACACACGCTAATTCGTAGCTGATCAGAACACATCGATTGTGCATTCTATCTCTTTGTTCTGATTTGATGCCATCAGTATCCCTGTGCGACAGGGAGTACTGAACAGTAGCAGGCAACACGATTTCTACGTCTCGCTGATGTTAGCGAAGTTTTCTGAAATGATGAGCTTCACGCTGTGGATGCCGCCCCAGTCATATGCCTCCTCCAAATGGAGGGGCCGTGGTGACAAACACACGCTAATTCGTAGCTGATCAGAAGTCTCCCCATGCCTTGTGTATTTAGTTCTCGAAGTCCCAGAAGCTGATGTTGGTCCACGTCTTTGTCACCTGTTGGACACCTCGCACCTTTGTGCTTTCCCACGAAAGATGGCGTTGTTACTATGCAAAAATGATAACGTTGTTGCAAATCCAAGCAAGGCAAGAATGGCGGCGTCCCTAGTCCACCGTTTGTTGTCGGTGAGCGCAGGTACACAAGAAGAACTTGTTGCCTCTCAACGCTGTGGGCTCGTCTGTCTCTCTTTAACCCCACAGCCTGAAAAACTCCTCTCTTGAAAAGTCGAATCTTGCGAGTTTCAAGCGGACAACTGTCCGATACCTCATGTGCGGTAAGCCAACAACAGGAATGGTACTTCTCAACTGACTTTAGCGCACAATCAAAACCTACTGTCGAGATCTAGTTGGGAAATCCCAATGACAGATCAAAAAGTGTTTGAAAAAGATGGAACACCAGACCTTGAAACAAGAACCTGCATGGTCTCGGAGCTCAAAAATACGCCACCCTCCCCCGCCCCCCCCCCGCCTCTTTTTTGCTGGCCCCAGAACACCAAAAGTCGGTAAAGGACTTGAAGACGCGGGTTATCACACCCTCGAAGGACGCTGGAACTCCCCAAAAGGGGCTCTTGAAGGTCGGCGGGGGGGGGTCCGGGGTCAAGCTCATGAAACCTGCGGCAGGGCGAAAGGATACCCCGTACGCCGGCAAGAAGAAGGCCTCCGATTATTTCTAGTGTGAAAGGGCGGGGTGTAGTCATTGCCGTGCATGCCGTGGTCGTAGGCCATTGACCTCGCATCCCTGCAAAGCAAAGCAGGGACGGAGTAGAGGAGGGGGCGCAAACCGGGGTATTGGGGTGTAGAGATACGTTGGACAGCTGGTGTGAAGTTTCCAGCAGTGATGATGCAGATCCGCCCTCTCGGTGAAAAGTGTGCTACGGTGTTCGTTGTTTTTTGTTATCCTTCTTTTCCGATGTTCTGACTTTTGAATCTCTCTCACACGTGGGCGGGCCTGGCTGTGCTGTTGGCTCTGCCTTTTGGTGTATTTTAGTCGTTGTTCGATCCTGCAAACCGTATTTATTGATCACTTCGCCTACTTTATCATGCCAAGGAACCAGCTTAAATGGCGTGGACCGATTTTCCTCGGGATTGAATATCAGCGCAGTTCCTCGAACGTGATGGCCCCCTTCTCTTCTCCGTTGGTAGTAGTAGGTGAACGTGTCGCTTGGTGACTTGTTGATGGACCTGTTGAGCAAAATGACGTTCCGAACACAGCGCGGGCTGTAGGCAAAACGGTTTGGCACACAACAGCAGGAACATGACACACAATACACGGAGCAACGAGCGAACCTTCACGGGGTTTTTTATTCTTTTTTTTTATTTTTTTGAAATGTTGGGGGAGTTGAGAAACTCCGGGGTGGGTGGGTGTGGACAACGTCTGGTGATGACGTGTCGGGAAGAGGCTGGTGAAGGCGCCCCATGTCGTAAATGGCAGATGTAACTCGGGGGTGGGGGTATGTGGACAACGTTTGGTGATGACGTGTCGGGAAGAGGCTGGTGAAGACCCCCCATATGGTCGTAGATGGTATTAGTAGCAGATGTCGTGGGTGAGTGGTGTTGGAAGGCCCTGAAGATGTGGTCGAACTGCTGGTATTCAGTTTCTGCAGTGTCGGGCGGGAGGGAATGGGGCAAGAGGACACACGATACGCAAGATGCACAGCTTCTGCTACCCGCGGAGCTTCACAGAAAAATGACAGTGGCCTGAGAGCTCCGTTGGAGTCACATGCCGTTCGGGTGGAGCATCAATTTCGGGTGATTTACTTACCATACGAAAAATGACCCACGTCTAATATGAGCGGACGCGTGTTTGGCTAGCTTTTCAAACCCAGAAACGCTTTGCTTCTTCCCCTATTCCGTGTGCAACTTTCGAGCATATCGAAAGGAGAATGCAAAGCCAGAGCTCGAGCTCATTTTCAATGTTATTGCAAGCACCACACTCCATAGTACGCACAACACCAACAACACGCACAACAGGTACAACACCAACAAGAGAGTCAGTCACTCTTCTTCTGGTAGAGCATGGGACAGGAAAACAACGTGTCACACCCTCACCCAGCGGAGGTGGCAGCTCTCCTCATGGTGAGCCCCCAGGCTTCAAGCCTGGCGTCGGCGATCAATGCCTCCGCAGCGAAACTGTCAGCGTCGGAAACAGCGCTAGTGGCGATGACGTTGGTGGCCAACTTGTCGGTCGCGCGGCGGGAGGCCTTTGAGTAGACGAAGGTCCCGGCAGCGGCGATGATGGCGGCGGATGCGTTGGGCGCTTTCCTGCCGCAGGGGGTCTTGGAGTCTGCGGAGTTGTTGCCGGCCCGAAAAATCGAGGCCCCGTCCACGTTATCCGCGCTTCCCCACCTGCTGTGCAAGCTGTTTGAGTTGGCGGGCGCGGCGGCGGGGGGGGGGGGTGAGCATGGAGCAGGTGGACAAACAAGTAGGCCGATGGTCTCTTGCTGCTCCATTCTTCGGATGATACTATGGGATGGAAGAAGATGATACGGTACCTCGCCCCCGTCTTCCCCCCTAGTATGCTCAAACGTAGAATCCATCCTACTGCGAATGGATGGTCTTGCGAAGTAAGCTATCGCAGCAAGCGAATCATCAACCCGTCAACGAAGCATCGCAGAACGCACCTACCTTGTATGCAGTCATCAGTGATACCTTCTGGAGCAAAAAGAGCTCAAAGCAAAACCCCTTGTACACGCATCCTGAAAACAATGTAGCCACAGCGGTCAAACATCCACAATCAATCTTCATACCGACAACGGGGACTTCAAAACGGCCGAAACCGTTTGCTGGCAAGTCTACAGAGCAGCGGTCATGCAATTTGGTATCGTACCTAGGGCTGGGCGGCTCGGTCGAGCGGTCGGCGATGTCCTGCGCGCCGTCAACTGCAAAAAAAATAGGAAATGGAGGGCAAACAAGAGAACGTTGTTGTCGGCACGACTGCGCGTTGTGAGACACAGAGGCTGGCATGGGACGTATCCATCCGAACACCCGTCTTACAACATGCACATTGGCTAAGTGTACTACTCTCCACGGAAACGTTGACGGTACATGAACAGATTCGTTGAGGTTTCGACACAGGTTCCTGAAACTATTGTCAACGTAGGACCAGGAAGCATACACTACACGAGCTGGTAGAGGACGAGCTGCAACAACTTCCACATGACCATGCCCGTCCGATGAAGGCGTTGACCAACCTAATAGTCAATAAGCACACCTCCACAAGCACAAAACACGTCGCATGTCTTCGTTTCGGCTCGGGTTGCGATGTCCAACTACACGTACGTACATCGATCGTTCGTCGGAACCCTTCCCCAAAGCAAGTGAGTCCCCCCAACTAACGAACTACACCTCGGCAATACGTTGACACGTGCACTGACCTTCCTTGGAGTGGAGGAGCTGAGCCTTGAGGCGTTCGATCTCTCGGTCCTTCGCGTCGTTGGCGTTACGGAGCAGCAACACAACCGAAACGGAGGTGGTGGTGTCACTACATGCCATCGCACACAGACAGCTAGCTAGCGTCGAACGGTTTCTACCTCATCGGCCTCATCGTGAAAGTCGCGGTGGTAGCATTGCAACAGAGTCAACCAGCGAAACCTGCTGGGCATTCTCGTTCGCACACGATGACATCAGCAGCAAGTTCCCTTCTGTTGGCATCCCGTCGCAACTCATTGCATGATTCACCTTGGTCAGAGAGCATATCTCCGCATCCTTCTTGCCCAGAGTCGTCTCGCCGTCGCGGATCGTGCACAGGAGATCAGTTTGCAGCAGGTCGTGCACTCGGTGGTACGTCTGGACCTGAGGTCGCCGAGCGTCGAGACAGCGGTGCAGCGGAAACAGCGTCGTGTTAGTGGGGTAGATACAGCAGTGCGTTTTGGCAATGAAAACTCTTTCTTGTTGCGTTTCGACTCCGGAAGGATGGCATCAAAAATGGTAGCCTCGTCGGGGCACCCCTCATATGGCAAACGTCTAGAACTCTAGACGTCAAAGGTACTGGGTTACCCCCCCCCCCCTACCATTGCTTTGACTCACGTCCGCCTCCAAGCAAGCAAGGTGTGTCTCGAGCTGGGCATTCCTCGCCGTCAGCCCGTCGATCTGTCGCTCGGCGGACCACATGTAGTGCCAGAAATCCCCCTGGGCCGCCGTGTTGGAACGCTGAAAGTTGTTGCACAGGAGCATAAGACTGGAAAGCTGGGAGACCGTAACGTTCGCGGAAGTGATGAAAGACAGGCCATGTGAGACGACCAAAGGAGAGGATGGGAGGGAGAGGGAGGGAGGGAGGGCGTGATGTTTCAGATAGTTGTTTTCGTATCATCGCGCCGAAATACTGTCCTACCGCATGATGTCATCCTCGTCCTACCGCCTGCGCGCGGTCTAGTAAGTTGCCCGGTCATCAACATGGCGCAGTAGGAGGAGGTAGGACGGTAGGAGGCCACAATCAAAGTGCTTTATCTGATGGCGGGCACCCAGTCAAGTTGTGAGTTCAACGAAACAGCAAGGTTTGATGACTGCCCAGCGACTCAAACGACAAGAGCAGGATGAGGTTATACTTGTAGGGCATCAACATGGAAACACTTCGGGGGGTGATACGGGGGGTGTCCTCACCTGCTTGTCTTGCAGCTTGATGGTGTCGCGGTAAGCTGCTTGGAGGTTACTGAAACGCACACAAAGGAGACGCAGCAGCAGCAGCAGGGAAATATTGCGAACTGAATCATGTGAGGCAGGTTGGGACAAGAGTTGGTAGCTGATTCTACTAATCACGGCAGTGTTGAGCTCAGCTCTGTTCGAATGATGATGCTTTAGGAGGTTTCGGTCTTACTTCCACTCGCCGGTACGGACGGGAGTGTGGCCGATCCTTACACACAGGTACACACCACACCTTCTGCAGAAACGTCGATTGTGAATGCACGCCCCTAGCGTAACGTCGACGGAAGAGACTTGTGCCAAGCAAGTACACACAAACCTTGCCATAGAAAACATCTTCATCCCCCGAGACTTGGGCCTACTGTCAAGTTACCCTTCACAGATAGCACCCGACCCGAAACGACGCGCCCCCTGGAGGGGTATTGCTGTATCGCATCACCGGCAACCCAAAGTAGACCATTTAGTCATGGCTGTGCATCGATGTTCGTGCATGTTTGCTTATTACGTGGACTGAACGTCCAAAATGGCCGCCACTCGTGCCAGGCGGGGCTTGACGAGAAGCTTTTTCGTAATGCCCCTGGCCCTCGCCTTGTAACAGATGGTCTTGGCATTGTCCGCGTACCGTCTGGTCTTGGCGAAGGCTACGGCGGTAGAAAGACCACGCTCGGCCAATCCGGGGCCTACGATACAAGCGAATTGTGAACGGAAGGAGAATATCATGCAAAATCAGCAGAGAGAGGGAAGACGGTGTTAGCGATTTCGCTCGTTCTTCTTCATGCACGGCGCGAGAAATCAGGCAATGAGTGCTGCGCCTTTTGCATGGAGTCTTGCGAAGGTAGAAAATACATGGCGTGGCTGGGCTGACGTTGATGGGACCCAGTCGTACTTGCATCTAAGCTTTCAGCGGAGGACATAAACTAAGTGCCCATTTTCACGACGTATTTTCCTCCGGCACACAACGCCTACACACCACCGTAGTAGTGCAGACATGTTGTGCAGGTGTTCTTCTCTTCTATAGTATACCGTGCGTGTCAAATCAACACCATCTCACGTTCATCAGGACCAAGAGCACGAAGCCGAGCGTCTCGACGAATGCTTTGAAGGGAACCGTGACGAACATTAAGCCCTGTGGTTGACATGCCGTGCGGCCGCGGTACGGTGCGCGGTGCGATGGACACAGAAGGGAAAGGTTAGCTTCAGTCGAGAACCCTAAATCGTGCGAGATTAACAAACCAGGTTCCATTCAATCCTAGGATAGGTTCACCAAACGTAACTTGCAATAAATAAACAACAACAATCCTCTTTCGTTTTAGACAGATAGATACCGCTTTAACACCCATGTATTGGGGAATTGACACCAGACCAGCGCGTTTCGGGCGCTGTTTTGTTGTCTCAGGAAGACAAAGTTATCGCGGCGCTTGGTTTGGGGGTACTGCACCACTTGCTACTGCACGACTCGTTGGTCAACGAAGGATGGGAAGAAAACGAAAAGAGACAGGAAAAATCGTTTTGTTTCCGGCGTCACCAAGCCTGGCCTCACCATAATGTCCACGACGGTATATCTTCCCGTCCGCGCCGATAGTACCAACGCTGTCAGCGTCCACATGATTGCCGACCGCGGGAACTCGCTGTTCATCCAAGCGGTGATACAGCAGACGCGGTGCGAGAAAGATACAGACAGGTTGAACATCGACGGTTGCGTACGATACGAGGTGCTAGAGATCACGTGAAGCAATGCACGCTGCTCTGATCGAAGGCGGACGGCATACGACGGGGTACTCCGGTGCAACGAATGTTAAAAAAAGCGATGTCATCACCAACACAGAGTACCAGCAGTATGTTTAGTACTACTCTCGGTCTATCTTATGTGCTGGCCAGCTATCGCATCGGTCGCTCAAGATTTGCCGAACGTGAGCCGAAAATGTAAATAGCAAATCAGCCGGCGACGGTGCAGTCCGAGCCATGAACGAACGCCAGAGCGCTCTCAAAACGCGGCAGCCCAATTGCTGAATGTAGTCTGTTGTGTCTTCATAGTCACTAATCAATGAACGCCAAACATTTACTGTACAGTGTGGTCTGTGTTATGTTCATTGTGTGTTCATACCAAATATAGAAAAAACGATGATAGACCATCGGCGCCGAAGCAAGTGAAGGGGGCTTACGATTTGGATCCGCCGTCTTTGACGCGCCACCACGGCTGCGATAACTTTCGCCGTGGTATGCGCGTGCCATATATGGGAACGTTTCACTGACCTGGTGGTGATGCCAGACGACAAGTCTTCGTCAGCCGCAGAGGTTTCGGCGATGGAATATGACACCACACCCCACGCGATGATGCCCTGAAGCATGAAGCCCAATGTCGTCATGCGTATGAGCGCGGTCGGTGTGGGGGCGCTCTTTTCGAAGAGGGTCATGAAGAAGTCCATGGTCGTTGTTGTTGTTGTTGTTGTCTTGTCTTTTCTGTTGCTGTTGCAAGGCAATACAGTCAAGAGAAAAGAGGAGGTTCGAGTTATGGCAGTGTGTGCGGGTCTTGGGGGTGGAGATGGACAGGGGGCGCGTCGTTTGCGGTTCGGGCTGACTCTTTCTTGCGAGTATCGCCGAGACGGTGCTAACTTTGTCCCCGACTTTGGCTCTTTCCACGGGCCGACAAGGTACCGATTTGTTAAATGGATGCTGCAGTCGTCTGTTGAGCCAACACAACAGTCCATCAATTCGGAGAAACTACCGTCTACTCAACGATCGCTTGTACTACTTATTGAAACCGGTCGGATACGATCTTTGGCGAATAGATTAGTCTAGTCTACTGCTGTAGTTCGATTTCTGGGCCTCCTTGACTCGATATTTTCTGCTGTAGACTGCTGTAGAACTGTTTGCTGTACACATTGCGTTGTACTGCTGTAGACCGTAGACGATAACTGGTAACTGGATACACTGCATAGTCTATACATGTACCGCTATATATATCGTATCGGGTGATACCATAAGATCTCTATACGATATCGGGGGGAGAACAGGCGAGTTTATCAGATCGCGACCCGTCGAACAAGAGTTGTGGATGACTTATAACTTATATAGTCTAGACTATAGACTACGGCTTCGATCCTGCGCAACCCTCAAGATGCTGCATATGATTACAGCGGTAGCCGGAGGCTGCGAGATGCTCTCGAGTGCTACGTTTTGTGCGCTTGAAACACCATATGTGCTTCTTTACTGTTGGGCCTGGATAAAGCAGCGGGCTTCCTGCAGAGAACACACGGACACCGACCGACCAGGCTGCCAAGAAAACATGACACCAGACGCCAAACGGTACGATACGCAGTGATCGTTGATTTTGGCCCACTTTGATTGGCCCACCAGGGGGTTCCGGCAAATCATGGTTCTAAACCAGGTTCTAACCACTTTCGCACCTGCCACCTGTCACCTCAGCTGACGCTGCTCCGGCAGCAAGCAGTGCACCTGGTGCCCGGTGCCAAGCAACCACCGCGACATGATCCCCGATTGTCGAAAGCATGCTTCTCCAGCCCTGCTGCTGCTGTGCCTCTTGTCCGTGCATTTTGCATGCGACCAGGCTACAGCGTGGGTCACCAACGCCCCAACCTTGCGCCAGCGGCGACCTCTCCAGCAGTCAACACTCAGAACCACGTCGCTCGCAGCCGGGCGCAAACGCACGACCATGACGGCCGCAGCAGCACCCCATCCTAATGCGACCCCTACCGCTGCGTCGGAAGCCGGTGCGGATTCTCGGCCATCGTCGACAGCAATCGTAGGTGGCGGGCCGACGGGGCTCGCCGTGGCTCTTATGCTAGCTCGGAGAGGCTACCGGGATATCAGCGTGATGGAGCGCCTGAACCAGCCACCGCCGCCATCGTCTCCGAAGTGGGACAACGCGGAAAGGTCGTACAATCTAGGCATAGGCGGGAGGGGACAGGTGGCGCTGGCGAAGCTTGGGGCGGTCGATAGGGTGCTGGATTGGTGCGCGGAAGCTGTGGTGAGTTAGTATATGATGTTGCTGGTTGGGTGTTTTTTTTCATTCTCGAACTCTCGGCACTGCTGCTGACTACAAACAACATGAGCTGCACGCCGGTACGGGCGGGAAAGAGCGCCAACAATTCGTGTCACATAGCGAATACATGCTGCTCTGTCGCACGACCGCGACCATAGCAACAATTTGAAACACTCTGATTTCATGAAAATCGTTGCTATGGTTATCCTGCTGGACTCTACCCGGTGTTGTAACACAGCACATGAGCTTACCCGGAGTTGCGTATTCATGGGGATAAAAAAAAATTGTGGTGGGTTTGGAGGATAGTCGTTGTGTTCTTGGAAGCCAAAAAAAAAACGAACTACTAGAACACAGGCAGGCTTTCCTCGATGGAAGGACACCCAGGTCGGGGTTACCCACTACCGGGGGGGGGGCTTTCTTTCTGGAGACTTGGCAAGGAGAAGTTCTCAGAAGAGAGAGAGAGAGAGAGAGAGCGGCACCGGAGGGGGAAGGGAGGACCGAAGGCCTCTCATTCTCGTGTTAGAAGGTGGTGGTGAACTGAAAGAGTCGTGTCCAAAGCCGGGTCTCTTGCTGTGCAACCAGCAGCAAGATAATCCAGCTCAGATGTATCTTGTCCTACTTCTGCATGTGGAGTACAAAACATGCACACCCTGTACAACTTTAACTAACTAACTTAGTTAGTTGTTTGCTAGACAACTACGTACCGGCTAGTTGTTCGTAAACACCTATTATAGTTGCGCACGCTCCTGGAAGAGTAGTTGTCTACAGGCAACTAGGTGCACACGATTCTGGAAGAGTAGCTGTCTGCAGCCAACTAGGTGCGCACAAATTTGAACCAGTAGTTATCTGCAGGCCACGATTGTGGAAGAGTAGTTGTCTGCAGCCAACTAGGTGCGCACGCTCCTGGGAAAATAGGTGTCTGGCATACAACTACCAACTAAAGAAGTTGTACAGGGTGTGAAAACATGTACATCTGTCCTCCGTACACATTACCGCTGTAATTCCGACAGGGGTGATTTTCGTTGGCAGGTCTAGTTGTCAAACTTGACAACTCCATAGCGGCGGTTTGAGGGTTCGATCCTCTCTGCGGAGGGTTTATTTCCTGCAGGATTCATTCCAGCAATCTGTGGTAGCGTAGAAGCCTACCTATGTAGCATCTAGGTCGTGAACGTAGAGACACTTCGGCTTCACGGTCGACTCCAAGAGGGGAAGGGATGGCTGAACCCTTCTCGCGATAAAAGCTAAGGCACGCACCGCAAAGAGAAGGTGCGGCACTAAAACAACCAGAAACATGGAAAAATTCCCAGTGTGACCTTCCCCTTGTGTGACCCCGGCTGGTACGTCAGATATATCCACCGAAAGGCTTGTAGCCCGGCGCCAGAATAGATGGGACGAACACACACCCCCTAAACATAGCCAACGAAGGAAAGCACCGAGGTATTGAGGGATATACAGGAGAGAAGAAAACATCCGTGGGTTTTTAAAACGTGAGAAGATAAGCGACCTTCCTTGGTTCAGTTTTTTTTTCGCACACGGCCGTCACCCTTGTAGCGTACCGTTAAACCACTAAGTCGGGTGGCCTTGCCTACATGCTACATGACGCTGAACCTCCCACCGTCGCAATCACACCACCCGGGTTCGTCTGCCCCCACTATCTCTGCGAAACGGCTCCTTGTGTGACGGACGATCTGCAACAGGGCCGCAAGGATTGGAACCCGCAAACTCCGGACGGTGCTGAGAGGATATTTTCTGAGCGCAAATACAAAACGAAGGTACAGCAGCAGTAGCGTTTTCATTTCACGAGGTTATTCGCGTCGGCATTTGGGGTTGGCGAGCCGCAGCACGGTAGATTTCACGGCAGGATTATCGTGCCCTGGGGATTGCTGGCAGAGAAGAATGTGCTTCGTGCCGGATGGTAGAAGAGTCGATTTGTTGATGGCGTTGATGCCGATGTCGATGTTGCGGGAGGGCTATCTGCCCTCTGACGGCTGACTCAGCACGTAAGCCGGTCCTATGTCACGACGCGAAACGGAGATATGGTTGGCAACGAAATCATTCCTCTCCCCCCTCAAAGGTTATCGCGAGGGACAGGCTCGCGAGCTGCCTCCTCGAAGAGATACGAGAAAAGCACTCGGACGCCGTCACAGTCCGCTTCGATGTCGAGTGCACCGGCGCCAAGTGGCTCGAACCCGGGGGTAAGGGCTCGGGAGCAACGCTGTCCATCAGAGACACCTCCGGCGGGGAGACGTCCGAGTTGACGGCGGACTTCGTCGTGGCGGCGGACGGCGTGAAGTCGGCGATAAGGGACGCCTTGGAGGGGGACAAGGCCCTCACGCGAGCGCTGTCGGGCGGTGATGTGCGGGTCAAGAGGTTCCCGCGGGTTAACGAGTTCGCCTACAAGGTCGTGCCGTTCAAGCTCGATGCCGGCTGGAGGTGAGAGACAGGAGAGAGAAAGGAATGAGCGTTTTTTTTGTGTGTTCATGCTGGTGATGGGAGCAGGTTATTTTTTGCTTTGATGCTGTTGCTGGTGATAGGAGCATTTTTTTTTTGTTGCTTTGATGTTGTTGCTGGCGACGATGGAACAGGTTTTTGCCCGTTTTGTCGCTGATTATTATGCCCCAGCATGTTTTGTCTCAGCTGTGGTCGTGTGCTTCTGCGCCCCCGTCATTCGCTAGGCCTTTGTGTTGAAAGAGCACCCGCACAGAGCAAGACCCGCCGCTCAAGCCTTCTTCCGCCGCCCCCTTTGGGTGTCATGCGTCGCCGGGAAGGTGTGCTAACCCCGGTGCCCCTACCCCCGCCCGCCCGCCCGTCCCTCCCGGCGCTACAACTACTACTCCGCAGAAACGACTTCAACTACTCGCACAGGTGAGGCGACTACCAACCGGCGGACGTGTTGCCGAGTCGATGCGGGTCGTCGTTCCCCGAGAGTGGCACGCACTTGCCGCGTTTTTTTCTTTCTGCCCCGGCAGGGGGCCTCCCTCCTTCCCCCTGTCCGTGCGTCCTCAGTGCCATGCTGCGCTCGTAGACAGTCTTGACGGCGGCTGGCGCACGGACCCGCGTGGACGCTCAAGGGGTTCCCGCTACGACACACCCGGTTGCAAACAAGAGCCTTCCTCTTCTCCCCCGTACACACGCGCCGCTGAAAACGGACACCCTTTTCGGTAGTCGTGATCGTTAGTGCTGTCCAGCTAGATAGTCCTAGGCAGGGACGCCCTGCGAAGATAACCTGCGAAGACAAACGTCCGTCTGAGGCCCATGCATGCGGTTGTACGGTTGGGGGTCTGTTGCTGTGCCTGCGCGTGCCTCTCGCGAAAGACGTTCACCACACGAAATCTGTTTTCAAAAAACATGGTTTTCAGGACGAAGGGAGGCATTACGTTGGAGGCGCTGCCCACGAAAGAGGGAGGGCAGGTCGGCGTGCTGCTCTTCAGGCCCGACGACGAGCGGATTCTGGGTCTGAAGGATGCGGCGGATGGCCGCGCTCTATTCGAGGTGTGCGTGTGCGCTTTTGTGTCTAGCACCGCCACCCCCTTTGTCCTGCCGTCACTACCGCTCGTGTTTCGTTCACCACAGCGTTGAGTCATGGAACTCGCCGCCCCCTTGCCTACACCTCTGCAAATCCCGCGACGCTGCTCTTGCTTCCTACTGTACCGCCGCAGGAGCTGTTCCCGCAGTTTGCTGGCATGGTCAAGGATGAGGCCTACGAAAGGCTCGCTCTGCAGGAGGTGTCGCGTCTGCCGGCCTTTTCCTACACGGGACCGGTCTTGCACCTCGGCAAGAGCGCTGTCCTCCTCGGTGAGAGTTCCCTTTGCTGCTGCTTGCGTCTTTGGCTGCTTGCAGGCACGTGCTCCTTACCGTTATAGTCTATCTATTTCTGTTCCAGAGCATGTATTTGGGACTACTGCTGTTGACACGGTTTTTCGAGATCGTTCCATGGCTTTGTTTTGGGAAACCGAGCACAGAGGCCACTCGTGCGGCTTGTGGCGATAGCAACGCGGATGGTGTCCGATACGTGTCCGGTGGATTAGACAATTTCTTTCCAACTCGATGCGGTTTTCCTTGACGTCCCTCCGATGAAGTTTCCGGCACTCGCTAAGCGCGGTCGACGCCTACATATGTCCAGGTGACGTTCTTGCACGTTCTTGCACATTCTTGCTGGTGGTGCAGTGATACCGTCCTTACAACGTGACGCAAGATACCACACCCGTGTGATACCATTTTGGAGGTTGAAAAGTTGTCACACCGGTGTGATATTCTGTAGGGGGTGCGATATCTTGTGTGATCCGTGTGATAAAACTGCACTTACAGGACTCCACCCCGTAGGGGGTGTGATAAAGATGTGGTGTGAAAATGTTCCCATGGGGTTATGTGCGCCCACACGACCCAACCTGCTGGGGTTGTGATACCGAATCTTTTTTTGACGTTTGTGCCGGTGTTGTGTGCGAAAACGAGCACAGCGCGCCCAAACCTGAGCGAAAAGACGACCAAACTTTCACCGTGTGTGTACGAAACAATACACAGTCTGAGCCGCAATTCCTTCAGCAGTGTTGTGTGCTCCGTTCATCTCCGCGGTGTTTTCTGTCGCCATAGCTGTAGAGCAGGGTTGCATGCGCTCGTGTGCCTGATCACGGCCTACGGTACCACACCGGTGTGACAGAGCGCTCCTTGGACATAAGTTCACTTCTTACCTCAGGGGGTGTCGTATCTTCCGTGACCGTGTGATAAAAGCGGTGCTTATTTACAGGGTCGAAAAAAAATATCACACGGGTGTGGTTTTCTGCCCATTTCGTTGGGGTGTGGTATAAATGTATGTCACCTACGGTAACCCTAGAATATTTAGAGACATTTTATACACAACGATTTTGCTTCCAAACTTCCAGATTTCCAAATTTCTGACTTCCCAGATTTCCAAATTCTTCCAATAATTTGGAAACGAACTCCTTCCAATGTTTTCGATGCCAACAGTTTCCAAATTTTTCCAAATTCCAAAATTTTCCCTCGGCCGCCAGTCGAAGTTCAACGTTGCACGGATTTGGAAATTGGAAGTTTGGAAGCGAAACAGCTGCTGTATGAAACGGCGCTATTTCAGTGTGTTTCATGTTTCCATCCGTGTTTTGTGTGTTCGCCTGCTTTATCAGTCGCACTTCTTACTTCGTGTTTCGCACGAAACTACAAGGTATATCTGGCTAACTTCCAGTTGCCTTCGTAGGTTTTTTCGTTTCAAGTAGGAGTGTTGGATAATACATGCAATCAGGGATGTTGGGTAAGGGTTAGGGAAAAGGGTCTGCGTACCCCCTCTCTTTTCTATTTCCTCATAAAACTTTAATTTCTCGCTAAGGCGGTCTCTGCGTGCGTTCCGTTGTTCCTCCTGAACCTCAGCCCATATACGTATCCAAGAACAGGCCCGGAGATAAGAAACGACAACACCGCGTCGAGGCTCAGTTTCTTACTTCACCGCCACTTTATCTTCTTACAGTAACCCTGTCTTCTTATTTATCGTGAAAATTTTGAGCCTCTGTTGTTGTACCGAAATATTTCGTAGCTGTGGGCCGTTCTGTATGACGAAGCAGCTATACTTCACATACATAAGCTCTTGGTGTATGAAATCGATGGCACGCGTGATTCGCCGTCTCTTTTGACCCTGCGCGTGCCTGCAGGCGACGCGATCAAGTCTGTTAAGCCGTACTTTGGCCTGGGGGTCAACACTGCCTTCGAAGACTGCATTGCACTCGACAGGTGCGTGAGACGGGCGAGAACTTCGATGTATATGTATGCCGATCAAGATGTTTGCACGGGTTGCGCGGGGGGGGGGATTCTCTTCCTATGACATCGAAAAATGGAACAGGACCAAGCCTGCAAGATTCGCCCCAACTACCGTCCACTACTCACAACCGACCATCCGTGGCGGATTACAAAGATCTAAAACTACGCCCCATCACCTATGTGCGGGATGGGAGAGGAGAGGTTGCCGAGAATAGTATGGGAGGCGAAGTGGGCAAACAAAAGGAGGGGTAAACACCCCACGGAATGGGTCAAGGTTGTAGAGGACGTATGGAAGGGGTTAGACATCGACGAAGATGAAACGCTGGAAACGGAGGGTCTACAGGGGTTCAAGGAGAAGATATCTGTTGCTTGTGCCGAGAGAAAAGAACAGAATCTCAGGAAAGAAACCGAGGATAAGGAGGGCCTAGAAGTGTACAGAATGTTGAAAGAAGGACTAGGGTTCAAGGATTACCTACATGGACCAATGGATGTAGGGACTAAGCTTAAGGTCAAATTCAGGACCGGGGACATAGGCCTTCGAGAACGTCGACGAAGACATAGGACGGTAGACGACGAAGACGGCAAGTTCAAATGTGATTGTTGCTTCGAATGCGAAGACCGTGTTCATGTAGTCGCGGAATGTCCGTGGTACGAAGAGGAGAGGGAAGTGTACATGACCGAGCTGGGAAAAATACAAGGGACGTACAGGGAGATGTTTGAGGCATGGAATAGAGAGGAGAGGACGGTAGCTGTACTGGGGAGTAGGAAGTGGTTTGAAAAGGCGGGAAGGGATATCGTAAGGATAGGCAGACTAGGGAAATCATTTTTGAGCCACCTTTGGCAAAGTAGGAAGGAACGATTGGCCATCGGTGATCGGTCCTGTGGGAACAATGCTCCGTCCTCTCGAGGACGCGTGGTCAATGGTCTAAACGCTAAGGCATGCAAAACATAAGAGTACGCCCCCCCCCCCCATCACCTGGTCCGGTGAGAACCCGGCGTGCTCTGTCCCGGCTTTGTAAGGATGCGAGGCCAATGGTGTAGCGACTACGGCATTCACGACTATGAGTACACCCCCCCCCTATAAGGTGTAGAGGGGTGAAAGGAGAAGATATCTGTTGCCTTTGCCGAGAGAAGAACAGAATCTAACGAAATATTCCTAGACCAGGAGGATCTAGATGTGTACGGAATGTTGAAAGAAGGAACAGGGTTCAAGGAGTACCTACATGGACCAATGGATGCAGGGACAAAGCTGAAAGTCAAATTTAGGGCCGGGGATATTGGTCCATGTAGGTAGACGACGAAGACGACAAGTACAAATGTGAAAGCGGCTCCGAGCGCGAAGACCGGGTTCATGTAGTTGCGGCATGTCCGTTGTACAAGGAGAGGGGAGTGTACATGACTGGCGTGGGAAAAGTAGAGGGAAGATTCAGAGAGATATTTGAGTCATGGAATAGCCAGGAGAAGACGGTATAGCTGTACTGCGGCATAGGAAGTGGGTTGAAAGGAAGAAAGTGATATCGATAGGATGGATAGCCTAAGGAAGACATTTTTTAGCCACCTTTGGCAAAGTAGGAAGGAACTATTGGCCATTGGTGATGGGTCCTGTGGGAACAATGCAGCGTCCTCTCGAGGACGCATGGTCAATAGTCTAACCGCTAAGGCATGCAACACACAAGAGTATGCCCCCCCCTATCCCCGCCCTCTCGAGGCCGCGTGGTCAATAATCTATCCGGTCAGGCATGTAAAACATGAGTGCCCCCCCCCCTAACGCTAACCGTCGTGCCCCTCTCTTTCGTAAACCGTATCCACACGAGAAGATGCCTCGAAGAGACCGGAGACGACCTCGCGGCGGCCCTGCCACTCTACTCCCGCCGCCGCGCGCCGGAGGCGAAAGACCTCGTGGAGCTCTCCCGAGGTTTCGACCGCACGGGAGTCGCCGGGTTCTTCGGGTTCATCCTCCCGCTTATCCTGGACTCGGTGTTCCACAACGCGCTGCCCAAGGTCTTCGCGCCGAACACCATCGCGTTCCTGCAGAGGGAAGGGATCACCTTCAGAGGCATCCGCCGGAGAAAAGGGCTGGACAGGGTCATGCAGGGGGTGGTCTTGATGGCGGCGGGCGTCGCAGCCGTGTCGGCGTTGCGGGTGGGCGCCGGGGCTCTGGGACCCCTCGTGGCTTCGGCGTTTGCGGCGATTAGGTAACAGGAAGCGGAAAGTCGGACACGCACTGGGAGGCGCGCGGGGGTTGGCACCGCCTCTGCGTTTCGACAATCGCAGAACAGGCGTTTCGACCATCGCAGAACTAAAGAGAAGAGGGCGGGCGGGGGTTGGCGTAGTCTTTGCGTTTCGACTATCGCAGAATCAGAAGCACAATCGTATTGACGGGGTCTATTGTCCCAAGACGGGGTATTCGACTTTATGGTACATGACCTGGGCCTGTCGTGGGGAAATGTTTTGAGGGTATGAAAACCGACCCCATTTACCAAGCAAGCGTTTGATTTCGACTAGATAATCAACGAGCCATGTTTGGATCGACCGAAACGCCCTTTGAAAAGGGTGTTGCTCGTCACTTTATCATCGTTTTTTGTTTGTTTGTAGAGTTGTATGCATGCACTTTCACGAATCTCTCGCCCACACCTTGGGCGATGCGTCCCAAGAAGAGTGACATCTCGAAAAGGGTGGTACCATGGTCAGTGGGAATCTGGTTTTAGCGCCGTGGGATGCATAAACGGCCCTGCTTTTTTTTACGTTTAAGATCACGTAACAAAGTTTTCGGGGAACGGCTGGTTGATGGCCGATAGTTTCTCCCTCCCTCGTATTTGTATTCAGCGTTCCAGTTGTAGGTTTGGAACAAGGAGGCAAGAGCAGCAGGAGGGGGTGGTTCCACGGTAGGTTCCATGGTAGGTGGTACTTGCCGGGTCCTTATTGTTTGCTTCATGCTGAGTTTCCTTATCTTCAGTCCTGAGTTTCACGGCACAGAGTCGACGTCGGGGAACGGTTTCTCCCTCCATAACAAGGAGCAAGAGAAGGCCAGCAGGAGAAACAGAACAAGAAAAAAAAAAATCCGGACAGACGATCGAAACGACAACCGGGCAATGGGGAAGTAAGTGGGTAGAAACATCGAAAGAGCCAGTCGAAGGAACGACTGAAATTGAAGATAGCAGGACGGGGATGGCTGAACGCGTAGCGAGACATGCTCCGGACGGATGCTGGAGGAGGGGGCAGGAATGCCAGGCGGACGCATGCCTCAATTTCATCGTATCGCTAAAAAAAAAACATTACAGTGCCCCCGATGTGCTGCTGCTGTCGTCTCAGTCTTTCGTTTGTATTTGTCTGTTGTAAGGTGGAGTGACCGTTGAATTCACCCACACGAAGCGTTTGTTGGATGGTCGTGTGAGGATTGGCTCTGTCGGTGCAACCCCCCACGGCGGCGAATACGCTCCAACCCCATCCCTCTCCCTCGTACATTTGGTTTTTCGTTAGATGGGGCCTTCCCGTCTCCTGTATTGCTGTTCCATTTTTTGGCCGGGTTCCATCGTCTCCCGGTTAGTTTTTCTGATGCTACTATCGCGTTTGGATGGTATTTTTGGGGGTACAATTTATTTCTGCTCCGTGATTTGACGAAAGGTGTGCCCATTTTTGGGTAGTCGGCCCGTGACCACGGAAGGCGTCCGAGTCAGTTGCCGGTGTACACATGTTAGACGGTACTGAGTGGAAACCGGGACGGTTTTTGATGTGAAGACGACAACAACAACGATGATAGTGTTCCGCTTTCCGGATTGTAACTTTCGAAGAAGGAAGCAAGAGCGCAGCAGACGCTGCTGCCTTTTTGACGTGTGGGTCAGCGACCCATCTCACCCGCCCAAACCTTTGAAGCCGTGGTCTCGGATGAAAAAGCTGAAACACCAACAACCCCATCTGTGATTTTTGGGGTCTCTGCCTCGTCGCCAGTAGTACAGAGAAAAGTCTTGTAGCATACGACCTCTGAATGATGCGCAAGATTTTGGAGCCTGCCGGCCAGGAATGCCACGGAGAAACCTCGCCTCTCTGGGTCCGCACGGAACGATCACGTCTGGAGTCGTGGGAAGTCGGTATCAGCCTGCAGCCTGTTGCTGAACGGTGTGCATATATAGCCGGCCCTCCCTGTGACGGACACCACCCACCCCCCGCGGGAGCCCTTGGGTCAAAGCTCTGATTGGGGTGTTGGTGTCGTCGAACAAGATAAGCGCCACCACACCGTGACCCCACGTTCGCTATCGAAACAAACCGCCGTTGACGACACGGCCTGCGTATATTCTCCAACCAATCAAAGACGGAATTCGAGGTTTCCTTCATTTCGCAACCGACCCTGGGTCGGCTACAAGGGCCACACCCGTTGAAAGAGCTCTCGAGATTGGCTTTCACCAAGGCACGTCAGGCTTCCTTCCCTTTTCGCGTAGATAGAAACAAAGTCTGCGGTACCCCCCAGTCCCCCCTCACAGCCCCCCAAAGCGGGTACACTAGAGAGCTGTAGGAATCGGAGCCATGCTTGAAAGAAAAAAGAAAAGTACACGGCGTCATGAAACATTTTCCTTGGTCCTTCCTCTCTCTCTGCCGTTCCTCCACGTCGCCATGCTTCCAACGAAGTCCCTTCTATACTGTCCTGCGATTCGTTTTTCCGCACCCATCCCATCTCTACTCCCGATGCCACGGAGCCAAAAAACCTCCTAAGCAACAACCGTCTCCCAAAGAAGCCACCCTCTTCACAGTGCATACACCCTGGGACTGGGTCGTCGACCCTTGCTCTTCACGACGCTATATGCATACCCTAGCGCTGGGGTCATCGGTGACCATTGGTCTTCACGACGATACGGAGCCGCGACCTCCTAAGAAATCCCCATCCCTCAATCCCTCAACAGAAGTCATCGGCTGACAGCGGTGAATACACCCTGCTACTTCGGTCGCCGGTGACCCCTACTCCACCCCGCTGTCAGCGCCGACCCGATCCAAGAATCAAGTCCCACGCAAGCTCGCCCCCGAGATCGCTACCGTAGACTCATTCTTGTTTTGCACAATCGGGATAATATTTAACCCGAATCCTGTGTCCAGAGTCCATAATCTCGATGAAAGTAGAGCCGGCGGGTGCCGTGCCGAAGTCAACACAGGAGTGCTCGTTTCGGGAAACCGTCCAGGAGGCTTTCCTTTCGTCACCATTTCTTGATTCCCGGCAGAATTAACCTTTGGCTCCCGAAATTTCGCGAGGGGACAGGAGGCGGTCGAACTTGCTCCGAACCGTCACAACGAGCGCCTTGGAGGACCTTTTCTCGGCCCATCGCCGTTCACGCCTCGGCCGAGGGGCCAACACCCGCCAACTTGGCGCCTGTCGCGGCAACCCTGCTTTGCAAGCGAAGCCGCCGGAAAAAAAAAACAGGGTTTGTGTGTGGGAGGTGCTCGGCAGAGCATTGATCTACGGGGCCTCCAGGGGTTACTATGGGTATGATGCGCGGGTCCCCTCTTGCCTCCCCCCCATGTCTGTCACTCTCTAAGTCTTGAGATCAACCTCCGTCCTCTGACGAAGCTGCCGCACACCAACAGAGGGGGGGTAACGCTGAGGCGGCCGAGGGTACATCATAACGTCAGCGGAGACGTTTGACTCGTGGAGGCCGACGAGCGACACCCAGGCAAAGACGGATGGACAAACGTGGGGGCTAGGGGGTACAGAACGAAAAGACAAGCACGATATTAATTGCCGTGGCGAACACGACCCAGCCACGGCAGACAGGCGTGTTTGTGAACGCCCGCGATGCGGCTGGCTGCCTGCATGCCTCACCTTTTCCTCTTGAACTTGGGGGCTCCTGATGCTTTCGCTCGCGACAACCCCGCATCGGCACTGCCCGAGGAAGACGCGGGAGCTTCGGCGGTGTCCGCAAGTTGTCGCCCGCATGCGGAACGAATGCTCCTGTGCATGCTGGGACAAGGGGGGGGGGGGTCGACAGAGGTGCGGTGTTTTAGTTGGAATGATTGCGGCAAAGGAGGGAGGGGTTCCTCGCAGAATATAAGCCACGAAAGCTAACACATGGCCAAAAAGGACAACCCAGCAAAAAGATGGCCTTCCGAAGGGGATACGTTGAAGCCCTTACGGTGAAGATTGGGGTGAAGTCTGCCGGAGACTGCGAATAACGAGTGTGCTCAAGCCCTTACACTGAACGAAGGTAGAGGTACATCGACCGGAGACTTTACACTGGCTGCGGGTTCGGCGACGGTGGTGCATGTTTGGACTATGTAGCCGACCGCACCAATCTCGCAATGCTGAGCCGTCGACACTCTTACACACAGACGGAGTACACTCCGAAACGGTGGTCTTTCGGTCGGTTTGGCCACAGGCTTATTATTATGGTGGGGAACAAAGTGGGGGCGGTAGAGTACAGTACAGTACAGTACAGTGCAGTACTGTGCATCGAAGCGACAACATCCGACAGGATCACCGGCACCGTTCCTAGAGATTATGCAAGAACCATCGCACTGCAACACGGGGGAGGGTGAGAGGAACAACGACGGGCGTGGGCTCTCCGTTGGACGTGTCCGCGAAAACAACCGGAGAGTGTAACGATCGCCGTAAAACGCGCAGACAAAAGCAAAACATCCAACAAGCGACAGCTTCTAATGAACGTGCAAACCACCCTGCTATCGATCGGGTGAAACTACCACCGCTTCGGGGCCCCGTCTAGCGTAGCTACCATGCCTTCGCGACGCAGCGGTGGGATGCACCGCGAAGAATGAAGCCTCGGTATCCAAGAGGGTCAATCAAGCAAGCAGTCAAGGACATGCGCACCCGCACCTGTGCATCAGAGCCGCGGAAACGCCGGTCTGCACCCGCGAAACCTCCCAAGACCCGACGATGCCAGCACGTGCGTAGTGGAGGTCCAGGGTACCGGTAGCGCTTCCACCATCACCATCATCATCACCACAACCAACACCACCAACACCACCAGATTCTGGTTCCTCCTCGCCTTTGCGATCAGTCTCAACCACGCCGGCGGTGCTGGAAAACTCGGGAGGCCGTTGCTGGTGTTCGTCCGCGGCGGCGAGCGCGCCCTCAGAGCAAGGTCGATTTTCTTCTGGCGGAGGCAGTTTCGTCGCTTCGACGGCGCAGGCGAAGCAGTCCGCGAGGGCCTCGAGGCTGTGGCCATCCCACCCCAAGCTGTCTCGCTGAAAACGCGTCGATTTGGTTATTGCCGCAGACGTGCAGCAAGAGCGTGACGGGTACACGGGGTAGTTGACCACGGTGCACGTTCGTATGGGCCAATTCTCGGCATCTTAGCTGTTCTTGTTGACTTTGCGGGGCAACAACGTAAGGACAACCACACGCGTCGACGAGCGAATTTTGGCGGGTAAATATCCAGATCCCGTGATGTCCTTACCCCGCAGCTGCTGCTGCTGTGCGCCGCATGTTTCCACGCGCACGACGACTTGGATTGCTCTGCACCACAATACCCGCGCGGCGCACAAGCTCTGCCCTTAGAGTCGGAGCTTTGTCGAGGCGGCAGCATTTCCTACAACTTCCACGGGTTTGCTCTCAAAACCATGCACGACCTCTCTTCACAATTTTTGCCCCCGCCGCTCGGAGGGTTCGGAGATACACCACGCCTTCGTACGATCCTCACTTAGCGTTCGCCGCTTCTGAGCAGACAAAAAAAAAGAACGCTACAAAATGTGCGACCTCCACAACACGCCGAAATTAAGACGCCAATCGTCACCACCAACACACTACATACATAGCAAATCCCCCCTCACGTGTGATGCCAGCTCCGAAGGCCCAAACTCTCCTTCCCAATACTCCCATGCCTGACCAAGCCCACGGTCGAGGAAAGCTCCGAGCACGAGCCTGTTGGGAGGCTCTAGCGTAGCAGCCACGCTGCCGACGACGGGGCTGCTGCCGCTGCTGCCACTATCGCTGGCGTTGCCGTTCCCGCCAGACTCGGGCGCTGGCGCAGGCAGCGCGCGGTGGGGTGGACAGCGAAAGAAGAAGAGGTACAGCAGCAGCAGGTCGATCGCTATCTTTTCGTGTGCTTCCTTCGTGGATGTTGTTTCAAGTGGACGGCCGAACGTGAGGCATGTCACCCGCCGCAGGCCAGCAGCTTCGCTCTGGGACTGAATGTATGTGTCGCGGTTGTACGAGCAGGGGCAGACTACGAACGGCCGGCCGGCATCAGGCGGGGTATTGTCCCCCTTGGTTGCCCCCAGTATGTAGTGTGGCGCGTCACCACATCAAAGAAAACCCTACAGGACTACAAGGACGACGGACAGACGAGATATGTTTTTCGGCGTGCTCAAAAAGGAGCTAAGGCAGCCATGAATCACAGATCAACTTGAAGTAGATGGTTCGACGTTTTGCAGAGTGTTGATGGGGGCACCAGACGGGGTTAGAATACTGCTTGACGTAGATGATGCCGACCGGAGGCACTTGAAAACAGGAAGGAATTGCTGCGCTGGTCTGGAGTAACGCGTGATGAATAAAAATCCCATCTCAAAAGCTTGAAAAAATTATGTAGACTTACACCATGAATGTCGGGAGTTTGTTCGCCGGAGAAACTCCTTGTACTGCCGTGTGATTCATGCAGTCTCAAATGCCGCACCCACATCTGGCGAAAATGATGCTTCCCGGCGGGAAACGGACACTCACCGGATGGAAAGGGTTTCGGGGATACATATTGCCCGAGGTAACAGCGTCTCCCCTTGAACCGAGCCTCCAGGTTCGCCAACAACTCTTGCATGTTACCCTCGTGTTGGCTCGCTGCTGCTTCGTCCATCGCGCTCACGGACACGAGTCGGAGATAAGGGGCCGTCCGCTCAGGGGTGGTTTGAATTTCAAACCAGACGAGCGTTGCTGCTCGTTATGAATGTCGAACAAGCGACGGGCTCTCCTCTCTCCCACACTACGCAATGAGGAGCAGAGACTCTGCTAGACAGAATGCTGTGTCCCTCTCTGTCTGACTCTGCGCAGGCCGCTGGCCGGATGGCAGGCGGCCAGGGTAGGCTCGGCGGCTTTTCGGCGCTCGGCTCTGCACTGGACGGGTTTAGTTCTCTGTTCGGAAAATGCTACATACCGTAATTGCGCCGCGTGTTTGCGCCCTCTCATCCCACCATACAGCACCGCCCACATGAGGAGCATGCTCATAGCAGCATGGCAGCCTGCTGCCCCCGTCCTCCATAAGAGTACTTCTATCGCCACGGGACAGCTTTCGTTGAGGTGTCGATGGAGACGGCAAGAGACAAACAGCAGGAGTCATCGTGACTCACGATGGTCACTATACTCGTCGCTATTAGCGCTCGACGGCAGCACCAGCGGTCATCAGCCTCCTGCCCCTGATCCTGCATGTCGAGAACCCTATCAAAGCGTCATCGCTGGCAGCTTGAACTCTCGACGAAGGAACAGTGGTGCTCTTTCAGCCATGATAGCGGAGGATTCGAACACTGCAGATTGCAATACAAACATGAAACAGGACCTAGCGGCGCTACTGGACGTCCTGCAGTTGAAGGAACGCGACGTTCTGCCGGAGCTGAGCAAGAAAAGCAGAGCGCTACTAGGCCTCGGAGGGGAGGAGGCACTACAAGATAGCGACACCGCGCGAGCGGTGGGTGACAATGTGCAACGGTGAGTATAACGAACGGCGGGCGGCGCACCTTTGCATGCACACGCTTAATATTCGTCTGCTTTGGGGCCAAGGATAAAGTTTCTTGTGTGTCCACAACAGAGGCACGGACATGATACGTAGAGTCGGTCAACTTGCTGCATGCCCTGTTCGACTGCCACATGCAGAAGCCGTTGAACTGCCCTTCTTTAGATAATTGTATTCACTCAGTCCACTCCTTCTAGTGTAGGCTACTACGTAGCGTACGCCTTGATACCTTGCGCGATAAGGGTTGACCGGGTGCAAGCAACTTGTACATTGTCGCGAATACAGACTGCGATGCCCGCGGGAAATCTGAACCTTTTGGTCGGAGGTCGTGGGGAACTTGATATTGCAAGTTGGTACTGTAGCTGACTCTTTTAAGCCCGCCGACAACGCTGGGGCCTGTCGGCTTGTGCTCGTTCAGGTGCTGATCGAACGGTCTTGAACGTCTCCGGCGAAACCGGAATGCGTGCGCGCGTAGGGCGCGAATGCAGCGGGTTCGCGACAAAGCCAAGCTTTATTGTTACGGCCTCCCCCCTCTGACCGTTGAACAATGCATATGATTGGCGCCATCCCGTGTACCCGAAGGAAAGGGTCGTCGCGATCCCCAGCGAAACAATGGTGTTGCTGCCGTATAGGCACGTCAGTGTTCTTGGCAAGTGTGACGCAGAGCCTCGTAAGAGACTGATTTTTTGGGGTAGGGCATGTAGTAGCGTCGAAGGTGCACAACAAGCGCCGGCAGACATTAAACATGCATTGCGGGTGGCGTTACGAGGGAAGAGGTGCCGCTAGGGGGCTAAATAACAACCTTATTGCAGTCGCGGCAGGGGTTTCATAAATTGCGGGGAAGGAAGACACCCCGCAGCGAACATGTTACCACGGGTTTGCAAAGAACCCCCCCCCCCGACGTCCGTTCTTCGTTCTGAAAGGTAGATTTTCTCTCGGTGCGGTTTCTCTTGCGAGCACCCAACGTCGTCGGAAGCGGTGGCGGGTGCAGGCTTCGAATCGGCTGCCACAACTCCTTCAGCAGTCGCAGACACCTATTGTGAAACAAAGGGCGTAGCAGTAAGTACCCGCCGGCAAGGTCTTATGCTTTAAAAAAAAAACTTCCCAAGAAAGGAAACGCGACCTGAGCTGTATCTATGCTTCCTCACACCGTGCCTCTACCACTGCCGTGTACGAGATGTAGGATTACGCCACCCGTTTCTTGTGTTGATCCGACAGCCCAAAAAAGACGAAATGGAACAGTAGCCCGGCCCGCTCCGCCCTCTCCTCACACATACGACGACCTTGCCCCCACAGCAGCGGCACCGACGGTTACGGGAGAAGATCGAGCGCCCCCTGGGTGATGCTTGACCGGAAAGGGGTGGGCATGAAGGCCGACGAAGTCGCCGCCGTGGTGCGGTCCTACCCCCTGCTGCTAACGGTGGGCGCGGGCCAGGCCCGATCGGTGGTGAACTGGCTGACGAGACGGGCGGGACTCTCTTCGAAGCAGGTAGGTGTTTGTGTGTGTCTGTGCGCGTATCTAGATGGGGAGCAAGAAACCGCCGTTTCGTGAAGAACGAGCGCAAAAAGGGGCGGGGGGTGGTGGCGTGGCGGCCAAGTCTCTTTCTTGTCTTCCGCCCGCTTTTATAGGCAGCAGTTTGCGCTTGTTGGAGGTCTTGCAGCCAGCAGTCAAAGTTTCCTGGTGTGCAAAGATTAAGCAGTCACCACCACCTCTTGGCGCGTTGAAATTCACAGAGGGGGTGCGGCACTCACGGTGATGTGTGTAGCACGCTCCCCCCCCCCCGACAGCTGTGGGCTGAACGGTGTATTGTTTACCCCTGTTGCGAACATATTGACCCTTCACATTAGCGAAATGATTGGCTTCCGAGACCCACGTATGCCCACACAGCCATAGCCAACACTCGCCGAGCGTGAAAGATGTCTTCCGCAGAGCCGTGGTTCGTGAACCGCGTTCAGACAACCATTCGCCTCACGAAATGTTCTTTTGTGGTTTTCTTTCTTTTGGAGTAAGCTTGTTCTTGTTCAATCACGGCGTCTCCGCTGTCTCCCTCCGCGACGGCAGCTGGTGAGAGTGCTCAAGAGCCATCCCGCGATCCTCCGGTACGACGTGGAAAGACGGCTCGAACCGCACGCCGTGTGGCTGGAGGAGGAAGGTCTGACCAACGCCGGCGTCGCGAAGGTCATCTCCAAGCTTCCCCAGGTATCCGCAGATATGTCTTCTACGGCAAGGACGTCAGTTCGCTCAACAACGCGTGGCATACGTTCTTGTGCTGTGCTCATCCAGCGTTGGTACCAGGCAGGTGCCTGAGCAGTACCAGCGTGTGGGTTAGATGGATGAAGCATTGGATACAATGTTTCCGGTTGGGGACTCCGCCGCCTTCCGGATGGGGGCCCCGCCGCCTTCCGGATGGGGCACCCGTCGCCTCCCTCATGCCTCCTACCTCGTGCTGCTGCGCCAGCTGGTCGATCTAGAGGAGGGGCCTTTCCTTTTCCTCCGCTCTTTCTTTTGCCTTTGACGGGCCTCGCTAGTGCTTAGGCGCAGATATCAAGACAACGTAGAACAGGCCGAAGTTCTAGTATCAGTAGTAGTATCAGTAGTGGTGGTCGATTTCGACGTGCCAATACGGGGTCGAGTGAAAGACATCATCTTGCTCGTCATAATACTTCCTCTTTCCTATCGTAACGTTCTGCGAAAAGTTTCACCTTTCTCGACTCTTCCATGCAGAATACATCAGTATTTCCGAGCTAGTTCTTCCTTCCTTATAGTGTGGGATTTACCAGTGGCATTACCCTTCCCGGGTCGGTGTCTGCCATCCTCCCATCCTCTTTGTATCCCACACTATCCCGGGTAGACGCCACCTCTGCTTCTTTTCGAAGGAAATCACGCGAAAAATTTTTCCGGTGCCTCGCACTCGCGAAAACTTGGAAGAAAATAAAATAACGTCTGGACTCTCTTGCCGTCCCGGCCCGTCCGGGCCGGATGGTCGCTGTGCTCCCCCCCCCAAAAAATAGATGCTGGGCCTGAACATCGAGTCTAACCTAGCCCCAAAGACGACTTGGCTGAAGGAGTACATGGGGTTCTCCAAGATCGGGGTTTCGAGTGTCCTCAAGGCGTTTCCGGCGGTGCTGGCGCTCAACGTGGAGAATCTGGAAGGGAAGGTGAGACCTACAGCGATGCCATACCCTCCCCCCCATTCCTGCAGCCATGCTTGCAATAGACAGCTTCGGAAGAAAGTGGGGCTTCTGCCTCCGCCCCCCGTTCCCTCAGGCTTGGGGCCATTTAAAGAGATTTCTCGTTCTCATCCCGGCCTTTGGCGAGTCTAAACTGCTCCCGCAACCCCCGCCTGTATTCTACAATACTACCCGCTCGCTGCTTCAGAACTCCTGCGCAGTTTTCGGCAGTAGCTGTTTCACGCAGCGGCTCGTATCGCTGATGTCTTGGGGATATTCTCAAAAAAATATTTGTGTTTTTTTTTTTCGTGTCGGTGTTGGTGTGATGGACTATAATCGGGTCACCCTCAGACAGACAGATGACGTGCTGGGGCATTCCGGGCGTGCGAGCGGGTGGTAGTCTGGTACATCGCACACTTGTCTTGTCTTCTAAACGCTTTTTCATTTCCTCCGGGTGGACTGCATGAATGAAATAAACGTCTCGTTTGTCGCACTCCTCTCACCAAAATCATTGGCGGGCTAGTTCGTATTTTTGGCACCCGCCTATCCCTTCGCGCTCTGCTGTAGAGGGCAACAACAGATACAAGATAAAGTGCATCCCGTGTGCGCACCGAGGCGTGCATCGTTGGCACGCCACGGGACCCGCCGCGCACACCCATCTCGGTTGCTGCATAACGCCGACGTTAAATGAGACATCTTCGCTTGTCTCTCTTTCTACTGGTGGTCGTAACGCTGCTTTCCGCCGAACAGGCCGCGTGGTTGGAGCAGCGGCTTAACGTGGACCGCGCGGCGGTGTCGAAGGTTCTGAAGCTGAACCCGTCCCTCTTCGGGTCCAGCATCAAGAACTCCCTGCGGCCGAAGCTGGAGTGGCTGGGGGAAGGGCTGGGGCTCGAGGAGGCCGACATCGCCATCGTCGTCCGAGCTTGCCCGAACGTCCTCAGGTGGGGAAAGCCGTCCAGATGTCGTTCGGGGAATGTTCAGAGAATGTTCGGATAATGTTCAGAGAATGTTCAGAGAATGTTCAGAGAATGTTCGGATAATGTTCAGAGAATGTTCGGATAATGTTCAGAGAATGTTCGGATAATGTTCAGAGAATGTTCGGATAATGTTCAAAGAATGTTCGGATAAAGTGTTCAAAGAAGTTCGGATAATGCTCAGAGAATGTTCGGATAATGTTCAAAGAATGTTCGGATAAAGTGTTCAAAGAAGTTCGGATAATGTTCAGATAATGTTCGGATAATGTTCAGAGAATGTTCGGATAATGTTCATAGAATGTTCGGATAATGTTCAGAGAATGTTCGGATAATGTTCAAAGAATGTTCGGATAAAGTGTTCAAAGAAGTTCGGAGGGTGATCAAAGAATTTTCAGGTAGTGTTTTGGTGCCGTTGTTTTCGGCTGGCTGGTTGGCTGGTGTTTGAGGTTTGAAATATTCGATCACGATACATATTTTTTGGTTGGACGAGGTGGACACTTTTTCTGTTGGAAGACGCTGCTTCGTATTGCCCGAATCCCCCGCCTGAGGTGAGACGACGGGCGGCGGGTGGGTCCCTGTCGTCTTTTTTAGTCCTGATTTTGTTATTTCCTGGCTGGGCCTGAAAGCTGTTGCTGGCCAGCTGATTTGGTACGAGAGAGCTGCTGATCGAGTACAATGGTTGAAACGAGGCTGCTCTGCGGTTGTTCGGGAGGCGCCGGTGTTTTCGCCCTTGCCCTGCCTGAATGTTTTCTGGGCTTACGGTTGTGATGTTCTCGTACGGGTAAGCTTCGATTCACTCGACATTCCTGCCCCCCTGCCGACATGTTCTTGTACGGGTGAGCTTCGATTGGCTCGACATTCCTGCCCCCCTGCCGCCGCTGTCCTCCGCCTTCTTGCTCGCCTCTCGATTTGTTTCTGCCCTTAAAAGCTACAGCGTGGAAGATAACCTGGAGCCGAAGATGCAGTGGCTGCAAGAACGGATGCACCTGGACAAAGAAGTGGGTGCTCTTCGTGTCGTATCCTCGTGTGGCCTGTTGTGTTTGCTATCGCTGTCTTGGTCTGATCTCAACGACTCACGACGTATAGTTGTACCGCGAATCTATGATAAGGTTTTAGTCTGTTCTCAGCGAACGTGTATTCTTACGGCGAATCACTGGTGTGATGGGACACAGGGGGTAATGAGGCACAGACAGCAGTGGTACTGATTGGGTGTGTCCCACGCGGTCGCCCCTCAGGTGAATGTACCACACGATAGTTGTTATGGGCGTTGTCCTAAATGCACACACCCGGAACCCCGTCCAACACAACAGAAGAACACTTTGACCTAAATAGGAGCGACAGCAGCAAGCAGTGCTCCGTCGCGACAGCATCATGGCGCAACATATTATGTCAAGTGATGGGGATGACAAGGCGAGCAGCAAGCTGGTGCCCCCCCTATCCCCTATCCCCTATCCCCTATCCCCTATGCCGTGTGTTCGTGCGAAGTGGCGTCCTGGTCGAGAACGGGTGTCAACCACCTGGTACCCCTATCCTCTATCCCGTATCCCCTACCCCGTGTGTTCGTGCGCAATGGCGTCCTGGCCGCGCAAGGGTGTCAACCACCTCCCCCCCCCCCCCCTTATCCTCAATCCTCTATCCCCTACCCCATGTGTTCGTGCGCGATGGCGGCCTGACCCCGAGAGAAGGGTGTCGCCGCGATGGTGCGAACTTTCCCGTCGATCCTGGGGCTTAGCCCGGAGAAGAACATCGAGCCCAAGCTGACCTGGCTGAGGGAGAACCTCGGGCTTACCGAGGAGCTGGTGCTAATTCTTGTCAAGGTGTGGCGCGGGGATGGCGTTGTGTGATGTCTTATTTTTTTGTTCTTGTCTGGCGGGGCGTGTGGAGAGAGGCTGGATGCAAGAGAGCCAGCCGCACCTGCCCGCTGCGGGCTTGCTGCCAACGCACCAAAGCAGGCAGCGAGGGGGAGGTTGCGTGGGACGCATCCTATATAGGACTCTGTCCTTGCCTTGCCATGCCATGCCATGCCATGGCGTGCTGTGTCCTTCCTCCCTCGTGTGGTCACCACGGACCACTTCTCCGCTGGGGTTACTGCTGCTGTTGTTGTTGTTGCTGCTGCTGCTGCTGCTGCTGCTGTTGCTGCTACTGATGATGATGATGATGATGCTGCTGTGTTTGTTGTTAACCGAGACGAAGTATTTCGGCTGGCGTTGTTTGGGCAGGGACAGAGTATGGGCGGTTACCCCGCCCTCCATTCCTCAGAAAAGAAAAAACGAGGGGATCGCCTTTCCCTTCTCCAGTAATTTGTCAAGGCGTTAGACCATCCTCTTGCAGCTTGTTCTATGTGGCCTACGCCAAAGCTTTGTTGTTTTACCGAGGCGTTGCTCAGTGCGAATCTCGGACTGATTGTCATCTTTGTTGGGCTGGGGCTTACGGCGTACGGTGCCGGCAATTGTAATGCCGAATACGGGTGCCTGGAAAAAAAACAAACATCCCCAACGAATTGACAGGAAGCAAAGTAACCGTGAGAAAGCTCTCGTCAGCGGCGTCCGAATGAGCCCATTGGTAGCACCCGATTCGTATTGCAAGGAAAGTTATGGCCCTATTACCATCACTACAGAAGGCACTTCACCCCACAAGAATGGCCATATCTCAACAACGACGACGAATCGGGCGGAAACAACCGCAGATTTGGACAGCTATCTTTGAGGACTATTTTGCTGAGGCGGAATCATCCCAGAACGCGTTGGGGAAGAACTACAAACATCATCAAAACCGCGGCAAAAAAAAAAATGAGTATTTCACCAGATTTTTCGCCTTAAAAAAATCTCGTGGGGCGATGTGGTGATAACTCAAGGAGTAATTGAGCAATTTTAGAAACGATTACAGGAAAATGACCGTGAGGGTTACATATATATAGAGGCATATGTCGACAGCGACAGAGTCCTACACCTTTTTACACTCGAGGTCTTCGGTTCGAGTCTCGCGACCCTTCTTTTTCGTCTTTTTTTCCTGTTTTTTATTTTATTTTTTAATGTATTTTTGATGACACAGGCTTCCCTCGTTGGGGGGGAGGCCCAAGCATTCTGATCAAGGGCCTGAATTTGAGAATAGTGTGATCCACCAGTTACAGAGTATTCTGAACTACAAGAAAACCCGCACAACACCATATCGTCCGCAAGGGAATTCTGTGTCGGAACGACTACATTCAACGATGCACGCAATGCTTGCCATGCATAGTTCAATGAAGCGTGATAACTGGGCATCGCTACTACCATAACACTTCTTTTAGTGCTACCATGCATGAAACTTCATTTTGCGCTCTATATCTGGCATTGTTGCTCAATTCCTTGCTTCGGTACGTCTTCGCTTCCTAGTTCGGCAGGGTGATGCTTCGTCCCCCTGCTTGTTGAGGGTGCGAACCGAAGTTGTTTTAGGAAGCGCGATATCCAAACCACAACGGATTCGGTATGCAGCTATCATTTCTTGACATTGTGGTACCTCATCTGCGCGGTATTCGAGGTCTGACTCCGGGCCATACCCTCGAAGACGCAAACGGTATCGGTAATTAAAAGGAGTCCTCGGACCCCGACCACTTTTGTGGCTTACCACTTTGTCTTCAACATAAGACTCAATTCTTGGTTGGGCCTCATCAGGGTGATCGATAGCGGCCTCTAGAAACGCCAAAATACATCCTTAGCAAAGATGAATTTGTGGCGCATAAAGGGGGGGGTGATGTGGATGACAGGTGTAGAAGTGCTGTAACCATTGTTGTTGCACATACAAAAGTAGGACCAAGACACGATCCGAACGGAGGATCTTACTGATGGTTGATCAGCAAGAGACCCGACTGTGGATGCGTCCCTCTTGGCGCCACCTGTGGAGCGAACAAAATGTCGCAAAATGACAAACAATCACGGAAAATTGGTCGCGTGGCCAACCGTGTTAATATCTTGATTCCGTCTTTTTACTTGAATGGATCTCTTCGTCGACGCCAATGATGACACAGGCTTCCCTCGTTGGGGGGGAGGCCCAGGTCGCAGTAGTCTTTTCCCACTACCAAGGGCTGGCAGTTCTCTTCGTCGAGATTTAGAGAGGAGAGGGTTTCAGAAGAGAAAAAGACAAGAGAGAGTGCGCCGCCGAAGGGGCAAGGGAGACCAAACCCGAGGGTCTCGGATTCCCAAGCTCCACAGGTGGCGCCAAGAGGGACGCATCCACAGTCGGGTCTCTTGCTGATCAACCATCAGTAAGATCCTCCGTTCGGATCGTATCTTGGTCCTACTTTTGTATGTGCAACAACAATGGTTACAGCACTTCTACACCTGTCATCCACATTTTTCCCATATGTTTATCTTGAAAAACATATGCAATTTTCTTCGACCCCACAAAAAAATATTTCATCACCGGGTCTTGTGGGTGCCGTCACGGGCAATACGTACGTGAAAGAATCGTCGAAATCCATTAATTTAGCCAAAAGTTATGACCGGTCAACAAAAATCACCCTTACAATTGCCCGCACTGTACCAATGTTGGCTAGAAAATATCACAATATGTAGTTACATCCCTTGGGACGCCTTGTGCCCCCCCCCCCCCCCCCCCCCCCCCCTTTTCCCC